GCATACAGAAAGCAGAATGGATGGATGCATACATACAAGCAAGAGCAGCTGCATTTTCAAATTCAAATATAGCTTCTGCTTGGAGAGGGAGTGGGCTACAGCCATTTCAACCGCAGACAGTTATCCGCGCAGCTACGCTTCCTACAACAGATGCAGTAATAGTGCGGCCAAAGACTCCAACAGAGCATGACATTTTTGAGAAAGTATTTCTGAACAGCAGTCCACCTGATTTTTCAACACTTCACAAAGCAAATACAGTACTCTCTTCTACAATAAGTCGTGGCATTCTCAACACTCCTACAAAGCGATATATTCATAAGTTAGCAGATGAGACAGAGCGGCTCAATACATGCCACATACTACAACAAAGGGAGACAGATAACTTGCGCTCAATTATTCAGAAGCGCAGAGTACAAAATAAGGGCAAGAGAGCAGTTTTGAAGGGTCAATTCCACATCACAACTGAGGAGTTGCAGTCGCAAGTAGCAGAAGCAGAAGCAGCAACAACAGCTACATCACAAAAGTCGAAAATATCAACAACTCCACAAGTTACAACATCTATAATTGATCTAATTGATGATGGGAGTGAGGAGGAGCTATTTGACAGTGATATAGATGAATTAGCATGGTAATGGTAGAACTATTTTCAATTATTTTGAAGCTGCTCATATTTTGAAGGGGTGGCTTACCCCACCATCCCGGTATGGCCATGGCCCCGGTATGGCCACGACCTACGTTAGGCCAATACTACCACATGGCATATCTCTACCAACTAGAGGCCTAGGAACATGAACGATAGCTCTAGAAGCATCTACAACCCTCTATGATTCATTACACGTCATCGCTCCTTAGTTACCCACAAGATTGGTTAAGTTATGACATAATTTATCTATAGGTACTCTGACCTTGGACCTCCTTTTCACTTCCTATAGGCTAGGAACCCAAGAGATGGTTCTATGGGATTCTCTTACATTCGCTACATGATTAGCAAGCTAGTTGTGGGTCGCACTTGATTTCTAATACATTTACCAAGCCTGGTTAGTCATGGAAAGTCATGGAAAATGAGAGAACTACACTCCTTTGGCATAAATAGGATTGCCCTTTCCTTAAGAAAGGGCAAGCAGGCAATACAGTAAATCGACTATCACATACTTCCACGTCTTTTACAAGCTTCCAAGCATTCATCTTGTTACTCCTTGTTTCTGAAAAGTCAGTGAGGTGTTAACCCTGACTTACCCCTGAGTTCCCAGACTCAACATTTGTTGCAACTTGTCTGAACCACTTCACTACATCACACACCTGATTGCTGCGTTGTGGAATAGTCTAAGCTACAACCCTTTGGCTCTGTTTCCTAAGACAGTGTGTTGTCTTAGTAAAATTATCCCTTCCTTGGGTGGCTAGATTCTCACATCTGGTGCACCCACCATTACACACCCTTCCCAAACGTCTCACCGGTGTCGCAACAAGCGGCTACCACCATGAGAGACGAAGGGTTGAAGTGACCCCACGCGAAGGGCCAGGCCCGAGTCCCCTCCGACACAAGGTCTTCCCCCACCTAGGCCCCATAGGCTGCCCCAACTTCCCCATCCTCCCCCTCCCTCCTTCCATCACCCCGAGTCGGAGCGACCGCGGGAGTGGCAGTGGTGGGCAGTTTGCCCACAGCAGCCACCAACTCCCCCAAGAGAGCAGGAACGCTCTCCTTTTCCATCCGGAGACGGCGCAGCGACGACCGAATTTGCTGCCCAGAGTCAGCATCAGAACCACACCGAGTCACAAGGGGAAGGGGGTCTACTCACGGCCAGCCCCAACTCAAGGGCAGCCTGAGTGGCACGTGCCTCCTCGTAGAGGTCACGCTCTGCCTCGGAGCGGAACTTTGGCACGCTCTGGGCGGCCAGGAGGGCCGCAAACTCTTCCCCAAGGAACCAGGGCAGCTTTCACCAAAGTCAGCAATGGCCAACCAAACCAAACTCTGAACCCCACAAGAAAACCTACCGGGACGCAAGGTGAGTGCTGCGACGTGCAGTACCCACACTTTGAACTGGTTGGGGACCAGACGCAGTCGTGGGACTGGATCCCACGGGCTTTGGCCTGAAGGCAGCGCAAACAGAGCACACGGAAGGCGACAGTAAGAGCCCCGGAGGGGGTGGGAACCGGCATCTTCAAATTTGGAATCTGTGATTCCGTCAGCCCAGCACAAGTTATCAACACCGCGCCAACACGCTCCCATCACCTACTCGTTCTTTGGATTGGAGTATACTATACAATCTATCAGTATCATAAACAAACGGACGGGGAGGGGCCACTTACTGGTCTCGGGCGGGAGGGTTGCTGGCGTTGTTGTTGTAAGGTAAAAACAAGAGGAAGTGGGCGAAGCGGAATACTCAAATGTTGGCTTACAACAATGAATGCCGAATCAGGTTAGCGCGGCCACTTCTTCTTTCACGTTTTACGAAAATTCTACTCAAACGGGTAGCGGACACCTTCCGGTACTGTTTCAGACCCCAAGAACGAACGTGAGATCCAACAAAAGCGAACTCCAGTTTCACCACACACACATGCCACACGGACCCTAACGCGATACCACCTCGGGATGACTACGGTGGCAAACAAAGCACCTTCCCGATGCGCACGACAAACGAAGTTGTTCCGGATGCAATTACCAGCCAACATTATGATAACAAGAAACGCTCCGTTCACGGAGACGATATGGAGACGATTCGGAGACGTTGCAGACATGATACTAGCTGCGTGCCTTGCGGACAAAGCACTCTCTCAGGAGGGGGGTAGTGTAAGGATGCCTTCTCGTCTCTCATTCTAGGGAGTAGACTCCAGGTAGCCGCGGGGTCACGTGTGATCATTTGGGTGGCCTAACTGAGTCGGAACTGAGTCGGATGGGTTTCGGATGGGTTTCGGATACTTGAGAAAATCGACTGACGGGGTTCCCCCATCATCTTTTTTGTATCCTTCATAGTAGACTTATAGGATAGCATCCATTTAGCCTCTGACTCGCACTCTCATATGCTATTACTGTGAGCTGGGTGCCCTGTGTCCTTACAAACACCTGCTTTGTGACCCCATTCATCCTTTGTGCCTCAACCCTTCTTCCTAGCTTAACGCGTAAGTTAGGATGCCTCTGAATGAACCGTGGCACCCAATCTTGCCCAAGTGGTAACTTAGGTATTTGAGGTTGTTGAGTTTGGGTCTGTTGAGTTGGTCGGGTCTGCTGGGTCGGTCGGGTCTGCTGAGTCGGTCAGCTTTGCTGAGATGGTTGAGTTTCCTGGGCCGATTGATTTGATGGGGTCTGCCAAGCCACTAGTTAGATATAGCTGAGTTTGCCAGTCTATGGTGGGTTTGATGGGTTGGTTGTTGACTTTGCAGAGCTGGTCAACTCCACGGGTGAGCTCACCTGGGTTTGGAAGACCCGACACTTATTTGACCGCACTTCCTCTGCAACCTCACGCAATATCCGATGGCTAGGAGCGTAGCTGCTTGCTGTAAGGCCCTTTATCCACTTTAAGAGGGTTTCTTCTTGGTTCTTGGATAATATTTGTTGCTTGTAACGCGCTTCTCTGCATGTAAGTTAGCATTTTTATATATTAGATAAGTATATAAAGATCATTAATACAAGAGGGTTAGGCTATAATGTAACTTGTGGCGTAACGGGACGGATGGCGTAACGGGACGCTTTGCCAGAGCCACCCGCACCCCACCAAATTCACACACCCATCTACCAATTATGGTATGCAAAAAAAGTCGAAAATCAGAGGATTTAGAAGTTCTATTAGCTCAAGCTTTCTTAGGCATCCAAAATAAGGAGTATAAGTCGTCATATGAGGCTGCTAAGGCCTTGGGGTTGAGCCGCAATACTGTTAATAAGCGTGTTATCCAACAACGGCCATCAAGACAAGAAGCACGTCAAAAACAACAATTATTATCAAAAAATCAAGAAACCACTCTCTTAAAGTGGATTAAGGACCTTACTACAAGTGGCTATGCTCCAAGCCATCGCATATTACGTGAGGTTGCAGAGGAAGTGCGGTCAAACAAGTGTCGGGTCTTCCAAACCCAGGTGAGCTGACCCACTGACTTGACCAACTCAATCAAATCAACCATCAGCCCATCAAACCTGCTATAGACTGGCAAATCGGCTATATCTAACTAGTGGCTTGGCAGACCCCATCAAACCAACCGGCCCAGCAGCAGACCCGACAGACCCAGCAGACCCGACAGACCCAGCAGACCCGACCGACCCAGGAGACCCGACCGACACAGCAGTCCCGACCAACTCAGCAGACCCGACCAACTCAACAGACACAAACTCACAACCACAACTCCAACTACCTAAGTTACCACTTGGGCAAGATTGGGTGCCACGGTTCATTCAGAGGCATCCTAACTTCGTGTTAAGCTAGGAAGAAGGGTTGAGGCACAAAGGATGAATGGGGTCACAAAGCAGGTGTTGAAGGCGTGGTTTGACGCATACAAGAGCCTCACAACAGAGCAAAAAATCGAAAACTACAACACCTACAACATGGATGAGACTGGGTTTTCAATTGGAACAATGCAAAAGAATTATCGTGGATTCAAGCCTTAGGACGCGTTTTCAGGCACATCCAGGAAGGCAGGAATGGGTCTCTGCTGTTGAGTGCATCTGCATGGATGGAACAACCACCGACCCCCTCATTATCTTCAAGGGACAGAATGTACTACAGAGCTGGATTCCAAAGGATGTTATAAGCAAATGGCACTTCTCTGCAAATACAAAAGGATGGACAAGCAATCTTCATGGATTAGAGTGGCTAAAAACGCGTTTTTGAGCCTTCTACAAGAGCAAAAGCAACACTTCCAAATGGACAACTACAACAAAGGCTCCTTATTTGTGATGGCCATGACAGCCATATAAGTGGGAGCTTCATATCACACTGCATACAGAATCGCATATCGCTACTTATACTACCTCCATGATGTTGCAATTTTTGGACCTTTGAAAAGACACCTCAATGAGGCGCAGCTCCTACGCATACAGAAAGCAGAATGGATGGATGCATAACGTAGGTCGTGGTCAGACCGGCTACATGGCCAGACCGGCTACCCCACCAAAATTGAGGACCAGACCACCAAAACCAACCACCACCACCAACACTACAATGGTCAAGCGCAGGAGTATAAAGGCTCAGGAGCGTGATTTTCGACTTTGTGAAGCTATTTTAGGAATACAGACTGGAAAATACAAATCTGCAAATGCTGCAGCTGTAGCCTTAGGGCTAAGGCCAGACACTGTGCGTAGACGTGTTAGTGGTGTGCAGCATAACTTACACAAGCAGAAGCGCAATTACCCCATCAGCTCCTATCAAAAAACTAAGAAATTATCCTCTTAAAGTGGATTAAGGAGCTTACTGGAAGTGGTTACGCTCCTAGCCATCGGATATTACACAAGTGTCAGGTCTTCCAAACCCAGGTGAGTCGACCTAGTTAAGTTACAGAGTTGACCAGCTCAGTCAAGTCAACTACCAACCCATCAACCCTGCCATAGACTGGCAGACTCGGCTATTTCTAACTAGTGGCTTGGCAGACCCCATCAAACCAACCGGCCCAGCAGCAGACCCGACTGATCCAGCAGACCCGACTGACTCAACAGTCCCGACCGACCCAGCAGACCCGACCGACTGAACAGACCCAAACTCAACAAGAGCACATTCCTAACTTGCCTCTTGGGCAAGATTGGGTTCCACGGTTCATTCAGAGGCATCCTAACTTATGTGTTAAGTTAGGCAGGAGGGTTGAGGCACAAAGGATGAATGGGGTCACAAAGCAGGTGTTGAAGGGGTGGTTTGATGCGTACAAGAGCCTCACAACAGAGCTAAAAATCGAAAACTACAACACCTACAACATGGATGAGACTGGGTTTTCAATTGGAACAATGCAATCAACAAGAATTATCGTGGATTCAAGCCTTAGGACGCGTTTTCAGGCACATCCAGGAAGGCAGGAATGGGTCTCTGCTGTTGAGTGCATCTGCATGGATGGAACAACCACCGACCCCCTCATTATCTTCAAGGGACAGAATGTACTACAGAGCTGGATTCCGAAGGAGGTTATAAGCAAATGGCACTTCTCAGCAAATACAAAAGGATGGACAAGCAATCTTCATGGATATGAGTGGCTAAAACGCATTTTTGAGCCTTCTACAAGAGCAAAAGCAACACTTTCAAATGGAAAACTACAACAAAGGCTCCTTATTTGCGATGGCCACGATAGCCATATAAGCGGGAGCTTCATATCACACTGTATACAGAATCAAATATCGCTCCTTATACTACCTCCTCATACTTCTCATGTGTTACAACCACTTGATGTTGCAATTTTTGGACCGTTGAAAAGACACCTCACAACAGCCCTCTCACACCTTAATGAGGCGCAGCTCCTATGCATACAGAAAGCAGAATGGATGGATGCATACATACAAGCAAGAGCAGCTGCTTTTTCAAATTCAAATATTAATTCTGCATGGAGAGGGAGTGGGCTACAGCCGTTCCAGCCACAAACAATCATTCGCGCAGCTATGCTTCCTACTACAGACGTTGTAGTAGAACGGCCAAAGGACACCTACAGAGCATGACATTTTTGACAAAGTATTTTGAATAACTGAGCAGCCCACCTGATTTTCAAACACTTCACAAAGCAAATACAGTTCTGTCTACTACAATAAGTCATGGCATTCTCAACACTCCCACAAAGCAATATATTCATAAGTTAGCAGATGAGACAGAGCGGCTTAACACACGCCACATACTACAGCAAAGAGAGACGGATAACTTGCGCAACATAATTCAGAAAAGAAGGGAGCAAAAAAAGGGTAAAAGAGCTGTTTTGAAGGGTCAATTCCACATCTCTACAGAAGAACTCCGGTCGCAAGTAGCAGAAGCAGAAGCAGCAACAGCAACAGCTTCACAGAGGCCTAGAACAACACCACGACTTATAGAGGAAGCTACAATTGAGGAAATAGACAGAGAGGGTGAAGAAGAGCTATATGATAGCGATTTGGATGAATTGGCACTGTAGTAATTGAATTATTTGCGATTTTCTAACTTGGTGGTTTGGTGGTCTGGTCCTGGATTTTGGTGGGGTAGCCGGTCCGGCCATGTAGCCAGTCTGACCACGACCTACGTTATGCATCCATCCATTCTGCTTTCTGTATGCGTAGGAGCTGCGCCTCATTAAGGTGTGAGAGGGCTGTTGTGAGGTGTTTTTTCAAAGGTCCAAAAATTGCAACATCAAGTGGCTGTAACAAATGAGAGGTATGTGGAGGAGGTAGTATAAGTAGCGATATGCGATTCTGTATGCAGTGTGATATGAAGCTCCCACTTATATGGCTGTCATGGCCATCACAAATAAGGAGCCTTTGTTGTAGTTGTCCATTTGGAAGTGTTGCTTTTGCTCTTGTAGAAGGCTCAAAAACGCGTTTTAGCCACTCTAATCCATGAAGATTGCTTGTCCACCCTTTTGTATTTGCAGAGAAGTGCCATTTGCTTATAACCTCCTTCGGAATCCAGCTCTGTAGTATATTCTGTCCCTTGAAGATAATGAGGGGGTCGGTGGTTGTTCCATCCATGCAGATGCACTCAACAGCAGAGACCCATTCCTGCCTTCCTGGATGTGCCTGAAAACGCGTCCTAAGGCTTGAATCCACGATAATTCTTTTGCATTGTTCCAATTGAAAACCCAGTCTCATCCATGTTGTAGGTGTTGTAGTTTTCGATTTTTTGCTCTGTTGTGAGGCTCTTGTATGCGTCAAACCACGCCTTCAACACCTGCTTTGTGACCCCATTCATCCTTTGAGCCTCAACCCTTCTTCCTAGCTTAACACATAAGTTAGGATGTCTTTGAATGAACCGTGGCACCCAATCTTGCCCAAGTGGTAACTTAGGTAGTTGGAGTTGTGGTTGTGAGTTTGTGTCTGTTGAGTTGGTCGGGTCTGCTGTGACGGTCGGGTCTGCTGGGTCGGTCGGCTCTGCTGAGTTGGTCGGCTTTGCTGAGCTGGTCGAGTTTCCTGGGCCGATTGATTTGATGGGGTCTGCCAAGTCACTAGTCAGCTTAGCCGAGTCCTGGCTCCTGAGACTCGGGAGTTGAGCTCAGTCAGTAGTAGAGGTTAACGTAAGTCGTGGCGTAAGCGGCGATCTGGCGTAAGCGGCGATAAGTACCCTTATATACAACTTTGTATGGAAAGGTACTTCTACATCCAAAACTAAAACCTTAAATAGCTCCATGGATAAAAATCGTTAGGCTTAGCTGTTCAATATTTAGGTTCTATATATAGGCCTTTACCTAATATAAAAACGCTAGTATTGCTAGTGTGATTATTATGCTTCTATTAGTAGGAGAAGATTGCTCATACAAATATTTGTATGAGGAAAACTTAACCCTTAAATTAGCATTGCAAAAAGACACTAGCAATACTAGCGTTTTTATATTAGGTAAAGGCCTATATATAGAACCTAAATATTGAACAGCTAAGCCTAACGATTTTTATCCATGGAGCTATTTAAGGTTTTAGTTTTGGATGTAGAAGTACCTTTCCATACAAAGTTGTATATAAGGTTACTTATCGCCGCTTACGCCAGATCGCCGCTTACGCCACGACTTACGTTATATAAATTAGCTAAAGTTAAGAACATTAAGCTCTACCAAGTCAATTAAAGTAATTATTACAGTTTGAATTATATATCACGTGATATGTATTTGCTTGTGAATTTACCTGTAAAATTGAAATAGCCGGTCTGGCCATGTAGCCGGTCTGGCCACGACCTACGTTACAGCAAAGAGAGACGGATAACTTGCGCTCAATTATTCAGAAGCGCAGAGTACAAAATAAGGGCAAGAGAGCAGTTTTGAAGGGTCAATTCCACATCACAACTGAGGAGTTGCAGTCGCAAGTAGCAGAAGCAGAAGCAGCAACAACAGCTACATCACAAAAGTCGAAAATATCAACAACTCCACAAGTTACAACATCTATAATTGATCTAATTGATGATGGGAGTGAGGAGGAGCTATTTGACAGTGATATAGATGAATTAGCATGGTAATGGTAGAACTATTTTCAATTTTTTTGAAGCTGCTCATATTTTGAAGGGGTGGCTTACCCCACCATCCCGGTATGGCCATGGCCCCGGTATGGCCACGACCTACGTTAAGCATTATAAGCATTATTACAAAAGTTATTAACGTTTTAATTTTGGTCATGTGACCTTGATTTTGGTGGGTTGCGGGTGGCTCTGGCAAAGCGTCCCGTTATGCCATCCGTCCCACGAGTTACGTTATATATAACAGGGTTAACCCTTAATTATTTTATTTTCGTTATTATAAGTATCTTTGTATACAAATTTAGCTGTAAAGATACATACCCCCGTTACGCCATTACCCCCGTTACGCCATGACCTACGTTAAGCCATCAACATCGATTGCATCTGGATTCCAAACCACAGGCGGTTCAGCAGCAATTTTGAACTGTGGTGGGCCAGTGCTAGCAGCAACAAACCCCACAGGAGCACGTGCTTCTCGTTCCAGGGCCGCCATGGCATCCTCATGATTGTCGTCACCTTTACCGTTGGGGCTTGCATGAGTCCTTGCCAGAGCCTGGGAAGCAATAAAGTTGACGTCTGTGTTGTACTGGGCCTGTACGCTGCGTTTGATGCGTAGCATTTCCTTAAACGTATCCTCATTTCCATGTTGAACTTCGAAGGCTTCCCATTTGGACCAGAAGGTCGGACTCGTTCGCGGGTCGCAGAATTGCGAAGCATGCCCGTATATGGCTCTCGCCCTATCTATTTCACCCAACCTCTTCTCCATATCGGCAAACTTTAAGCACATGTCTCTGGCGTCGCTGTCAGGTAGGGCAGCAATGGCATGCTCGTAAATAGGTCGTGTGGAGGGCAGCCCAAAGTTCGACGCGGATTTCGTAATATAAAAGTTGAACATGTCTGCCCGATCTTCATCAGAGACTGCTCTTGTGGCGCGCTCATATATGCGCATTGCATGTCGTGCCAAGCCCCGATCCTCCTCAAGATTACCGTACATGAGATACAGTACTTTGGCGAAACGTGGAGGGCATCCTTCAACAGCTTGCTCGAAAAGATCCCGTAGCCGTTCAATACTAATTTTCCGGTCGACAGCTTTGGTGAGATATAAGTTCCAGAGTTCAAAGGCTACAGGATAACTGAACAAATCCAAGCCCCGTTCATAGATCTTGAATGACTCTTCAAAATATTTGCTTTCCTCCAAAAGGTTTGCATAATTGACAACTGTCTGCGGTGTGGCGATTCGAAGCTCAAATATCCTTTCATATATGTTCCTAGTCTCCTCAAGAGTGCTGACACTCTCAACAAGGTCGACATAAAAGCTCCAAAGTTTCCAGCTCTTGTGAACTCGCTGTTGTGGCGAGAGTGCTTCGTCGAAATAATCCACCGTTGATCGTTTCGGTGCCTGTACTGCTTTGGCCATGACATTGACAGCTCCCTCGAAATTCTCATTTCTCAGTTCCATCTCAGCCCACTCTATCCACAACTCTGCTAGCTCTGCAACTGACTTAAAAGGGACTTTTACGGCTTTCTCCAGTATTAGCCGAGCGTCTCGCAAATCCCCGCCGTTCTCATAAACCTTAGCATAATTGACCCAAAGTTCGTGAAACTGGCCAATTGCTTTCTTCGGCTGCACCGCAGCAATGGCGTCGGTATATGTCTGGACTACTTCACGCTTGTTGTCACCCCAGAGAGCAACTCGTTTCTCCCACTCAGGCACATTGTTGGGGTTCTGCCGTAATAGGACATCATTCACGAGGAATGGCCGTCGGTCCATTAGTTGCTCGAACCGCATCATTCTGATATCTAAATCAAAATCTGCGTCTTCGTCCACAACTCCTCTGCTTGAGCGACTGGCCGCAGAGTCCATCAGTGCCCCAATAACTGATTCTTCAAATTCCGTGTATGAATCGAAAACCAGCGTGAAGTCGCGAACAGTCATGACTGTTATTATTGCCTCTTCAAAAATGTCCCTTGCCTTTTCAAAGCTTCCACGGGTGATCCAGTATGTAGCTAGGCCAGACCATAGCTTGCCTCTTTGGTCTGAAAACCTCTCAATGCCACTTCTGATAATGCTTTCAACATCAATGCCATTTTCGTATCCCGTTTCTACGAGCCTAGCATGAGTAACGAGGAGGTCGATCATTTCATTCCAGAGCTGGTAGTGACCCTTTCCATGCTTGCTTCGAAACCTTGTATTGTTGAGAATGTTCATATACATCTTAATCGCCTCCGTGTAAAGCCTCTCTTCGACCAACAGTTCGATGAAGTCCTCTGCATCTTCCGGGTGTATTTGCATGTATCGTCGCCAAATTTTAACGGCCGTCTGTCCAGTTGCGGAATTTGCGAATGGTCGGTAGAGGGCCCATATCTTGTTATGTTGAGTGATTGGTAGCGCTCGTAGCGCTCTATCGAATGTGTGGCGTGTGAGTGTTACAAGTGGCTGAAGTAATAGGAATTGAAGATACATCTCCCATATCTTAGGCATTTTGTTTAAGAGAACAAGAGCCTTCTCGAATAATGAATTCACTTTCGCAAATTCTGCTGCGAAGATGGCTGGGTTGAGCTTTCGAAGGTGCTTCGTTCTGATAGAGAGATACTGGTACAGTTAGCATTGCCCAGAATAGTTTGCATGTTATCATCCTTACCATTCGCCATAGCTTATATGACCGTGGTAACTGCAAGCACGCACGTTCGAGGACGTATGCTTGTTCGTGTAAACTCCCATGTCGCAACTTGAAATCTATATATCCCAGCCACGGCTTGATGCTTTCAGGGTCGCGGAGTATATCTTGCTCGTAAATCGTATCTTCTTCAGACTGCCTCGAAGTCAGTAACGCCCAACAGCCACGAGTGAGGGTAATACATACAATGAGGTATAGATCAGGTTGTCCCCACGAAACCTTTCCACGCTTCATTATAGCGGTCATGATTTCAGTCCTCGGCCACTTTACGCGCAGGAAATGCCGCGCCGGGCGCGCTGATGATGCCTAAGAGAAACCTGTGTCAATGTCCTTTCGATGATTGATATTAAAGCTAATGAAGCTATAATTCTGAAGACGCGTGTGGCACAGGACCAGGCGCTTACCACGCTAAACCGTATCGGTTAGGCGGTGAGGCAGTATCCTTACCTTGGGAGCAACCCCCCAGGCATGTCCACTTGCTTTGTATTGTGCTTCGAATAATGTCCGCTGTAAACAACTCAGCGAGACAATCAAGTTAGCTGGAGTAAATATTTCTCCGTAACGGCCATTGCACTCCTTCTAGTACTTTATATTCCTTCTGAAAATGTCGGGAGCTACGGTAATATAACCTGCGTGCTCAGTGTCACGAAGTGCTGGCTAACACAGCTTATTTTTAGGACCGAGAGGCTGTCTTCCCTACGAGGCAAACGCTGGGGTTGATGAAGGCCAAACTCAAGGGAGCCGAGACAGGTCACAGTCTCTTAAAGCGCAAGAGCGAGGCATTAACGAAGTATGTATTCCTTACCTTGTGGTCTTCAACTTAGCTAACAGCAGACTCCAGACGTTTCAGAGGTAGCATCTAACGAGTCGCATCTCGATACTCCGCTGATACTCCTTGCTAGAGATAACCCGTCGAATTGACGAAGCCAAGCGCAAAATGGGACGAGTTATGCAGATAGCGGCATTTTCACTTGCAGAAGTAACTTATGCTGTTGGCGGCGATATTGGTTACCAGGTTCAGGAGTCTGCTAAATCTGCACGCTTTCGTATCCGAACAAAGCAAGAGAATGTTTCTGGCGTTTTCCTGCCTGCTTTTGAAAGCTATACAACGGAAGGAAACAACGATTTCGGATTGACGGGTTTAGGAAAGGGGGGCCAGCAGGTCCAAAGGTGCAGGGAAACGTACGCCCGAGCTGTTGAGACGCTGGTTGAACTTGCCAGTTTACAGGTACCATCTTCCATTGACAGCCTCGTATGAGCGTATCTAACCTTCGACTGAAGACAGCTTTTGTGATATTGGATGAGGTTATCAAAGTTGTAAATCGCAGAGGTTCGTTGCATTTTAACCCCCTTCTCTCAATCCTGTTTTGCTGACCGTCATAGTGAATGCCATGTCTGTAAATGTCATTTTACCAATCAACCCTGGCTAACCTATATCAGTGAACATGTCATCATTCCGCGTACTGAAAATACGATTAAATGTCAGTTTAGGCCGTATTCCCACCAGCATTCGAGATGACAGCGTTAACCCTCCCTAGATATTAATTCCGAGCTCGATGAGCTGGATAGAGAAGAATTTTATCGGCTTAAGAAGGTAGGCTTGGGTTCGTATAGTCTATCTACGTTGTCTTACACTATGTTTAGGTTGCGAACAAGAAGCAAAGAGACGTCGCCGTAGCCGATGCTGAGATGGCAGCAAGAAGGGAAAAAGACAACGCTGCTAACGACGGCGGCGACGACGGACTCTCGGGCAATGCGGATATTCTTGGGGAGCAAGAAGATGCGGACGTCATCTTCTGAACAATTGTTAAATAGCTTCGAAATGTGTTATGGATGGCAATCCCTGTCATATGGCAAGCTTGCGCCTAAAGGCACACATTATAAGGTTATATGTGTTGTTCATAGTATCAATTTGACATTCAGAAACATTTTTTTTTTCACTGCCTCTGATAAGTGACCTTTATTGCCTGGCCAGCTTCCCCCAGGGCCACACCTGCTGTGTTTTCCTTCGCACTTATAGCACCAGCCTCGGCCTCATATTCGACGAAAGCGATACCACGGCGACCTGGGACCAAGCGAACTTCCCGAAATCCTTCGAACCTTCCAAAGATGCTGGTTAAAGCATCAATATCGTACTCATCGGGGACATTCTGTACGAAGAGGATCTTGTTCGGAGGAAGATATTCATCCGGAACCACTACACTGGTGGCCGCATTTGAGGAACGTAAGCCAGCGCCTCTTGTTGCTTTGATAGGTCGAGAAGTCATATCTGCAGCATTTCCAGCAGCTGCCACTGCAATCTTCAGCTTCTTGGCTTCTTCGGCGGCCTCCGCGGACTTCTTCTTATCTAATAATCCTTCGAATCAGTAACCTTCTCCGAAATACTATCAGTATCACTTACCCTTCTCTGCGAGGCGCTTCCTCTTGTGAGATTCGTATTCTTCTTCGTCGCCGGTCCTCTTAACCGTGGCATCACTCCTAGTTTTTGCAAACGCGAGCTGCATGGGTTTTTCAAAAAGCTCGAAGCCTTGGACTTCATCGATAGCCTTTTGGGCAGATTCGACAGTGTCAAATACGACGAAAGCCTGGCCCTTTGCTTTTAAATTTGTCTTCGCAACGATATCTATAATTTCGCCATATTCCGAGAACAGCTCCGTGAGCGCTTCTTTCAGTTGATCGACCTTAATATGTTCTTCCAGGTTGCGGACATATACGCTTTATATCACGGTTAGTAGCGAAACAAAACGTGTCGGTGTGCAATGACACGTACGTAGCGCTTGGAGGGGGAGATATATTAGCCATTGCAGAAAATCTGCAATCTGCAAAGGCAGAGATGTATGGTGAGGTTTGTGTTGAGGCTTTGGGGATTGTGAAGAAGCAGAGATGGTTATGGTAGTTAGTAAGTTCGCGCATGCTCGATTATTGTAGCTTAATCGTGCATGGTCCGTGCGTTGGGATCGCCGACTTCAAAGCTGGACAACCTTGATGGCTAGACGTCACTTGGCCCCTCGCGGTCTACAGCACCCTTTAAAATACATAAATTTTCAGATCAACAAACCCTATATTGCCAGCATGTTCTAAATATTGGCATGCAGAATATTCCTTACAGGATCTTTGGAAGGCAACTGCGAAATCTGCTTATGCTTTGACCACACCATGGCAAAACAGTTTTCACAACGGATAAACACGACAGCGCCAGTAGCTGACTAGATTGTGTGCAGAAGAGGCACCTTCAACATGATAGGAGCTTCTGATGATACCGGCGAAGAATCGCGGGGACGATCGTCGCGATCCTCGGGGCAGCTGGGTCGTCAGGACTCTGAGGGACAATTCCAGGATGAAACCTGTGAGTGTGCACAGCCAACCGATGACACGTTTGGATCAGCACCTGCCATGCACCCTCTGCCAGCGTCTACCTCTAATTATTTCGCTGCGGGGGACCCTCCGACTGAGCCGATTTTGTCCCCGCTCCACAACAACCTACCAAAACCTGTCGAAGATGCCAGTCAGCCTTCATCTACCAAGTTTGCCCAGGACAATGGATTGTATGACGATCCAGCGATTTCGGGCTCTTCCCAAAGTTTCGCTGGTCCCAGCCTTGATCAAAGGAGGGGTAAAGGCGCGGTGCATGAAAAACCTGGCGACCATGCGATTTGTAAGATGCACAAATTCACAGTATACGAAACAGCGACGAGATACTACATCGTGGGGGCCGATATCATGGACCAGAGATTCCGGATTCTAAAAATCGACCGTAATTCGGACGTTGGGAACCTAAGCGTAGCAGAGGATGACATCGTGTACACGAAAAAAGAGATGAGCGAATTATTAAGTGCCGTGGGCGACGGCAATAAAAGCACTGGGGGGATGAAGCTCAAATGCAGCACATGGGGCCTACTCGGTTTTGTTCGATTCACCGGGACTTATTATATGCTTTTGATTACCAAGAGAAGCCAAGTAGCCATGATCGGGGGGCATTATGTCTACCAAATAGATGGTACGGAACTTGTGCCTCTCGTCACTTCGCAGAATTCCAGATTCAAACCAGATTCTCGCAACGCGGAAGAGACAAGATTTTTGGGGATTTTGAATAATCTTGACTTGTCCCTTTCGTTTTACTTCAGCTATTCATACGATATAACGCACACACTCCAACACAATATCTTACAGGAACGCGCCGCCACGACTCAAAACCTTCCTCGCCCATACCCGCCTGAATACAATGACATGTTTGTCTGGAACAACTACTTGTTGAGGCCTGCTACAGTGGCACTGAAGAACACCTACGACTGGTGTCTTCCAATAATCCATGGCTACATGGATCAAGCAGGTATGGCACTACATATATCATTGTCGAATACGTGCTAACCCTACAGCCCTTTCAATATACGGCCGGACCGTGCATATTACAATCATTGCAAGAAGATCGCGATTCTTTGCCGGGGCCAGGTTCCTTAAACGCGGGGCAAATGATCTGGTAAGCTCGCCCATATATATTTTAGTTCCTCACTAAATATTGCCTAGGGCTACGTTGCCAACGATGTCGAAACTGAGCAAATAGTTGCCGAGGGGCTGACCACTTCGTTCCATGCGCCGGGTCCCAAACTCTTTGCCAGTCCAAACTATACTTCATACGTCCAACATCGAGGAAGCATACCCCTATACTGGACTCAGGATAATACTGGAGTGACACCAAAGCCACCCATCGAACTGAATCTGGTAGACCCGTTTTACAGCGCGGCAGCCCTTCATTTTGACAACTTGTTTCAGCGATACGGCGCCCCAATTTACGTTCTTAACCTCGTGAAGTCTCGTGAGAGGATTCCTCGCGAGTCGAAGTTATTGCATGAGTTCACAAGTGCCATAAAATATTTAAATCAGTCCCTGCCGGAGGGTAAAAAAATCATACACAAGGCATGGGATATGAGCCGAGCGTCTAAAAGCCGTGACCAAGATGTTATTGGGACACTTGAAGCTATCGCGGAGGAAGTTGTTACCACTACCGGTCTATTTCGGAATGGAGACGGCAAGACCACTCTCCCTACAGTACAGAACGGGGTTGCAAGAACTAACTGCATCGATTGCCTTGATCGCACCAACGCAGCCCAGTTTGTTATTGGAAAGCGAGCCCTAGGATATCAGCTACACGCATTGGGCATTATTGCCGGGACCTCTATTGATTATGATACGGACGCTGTCAATCTCTTTACCCATATGTATCATGATCATGGCGACACCATTGCTGTTCAATATGGAGGCTCTCAACTTGTCAATACCATGGAAACATATCGTAAAATAAACCAGTGGACAAGTCACTCTAGGGATATGGTGGAAAGTTTCAAGAGGTACTATAACAACTCTTTTCTCGATGGTCAGCGGCAAGAAGCATACAACCTCTTCCTCGGCAATTACATTTTTACCCAAGGGCAACCCATGCTTTGGGATCTAGTAACCGATTACTACCTGCACCATGCTGATCCAAGAGCTTGGTCTGGGAAACAACGTCGCAACTACATCTCCTGGTACACCCCAGAATATCTGGCCGAAAGGAAGATGCCAACTGATGCACTGTTATTAACATCGAGAACCACTGACGAAACACTCCATAATTTTGACGATTACTGGCTCGAGTATTATAAACCTCTCGCTCTTTCCTCATTCTTGAAAATATTTTCTTATAATATGAATTCGACTGTACGCTACACACCCGTCAGGTCTGCCCAAGAAGGGAGGTATGACCTGAGTCCATTCAGAGTTCGAACAGAGATAAACCAAGAAGTGCCCGACAAAAAAGCGGTAAAAAACCGAGCTGCCAATTTGGATCCTCAGGACAAGCACGACGATGACACCTCTGTCAGCCTGGGAGCCACAAAAAGAACACCAAGGCAACGCTGGCTTCAGCCTATCGACGAGAAAGCTTCCATGAGCCATGGAACTGTGATGGAACCTCGGTCTACAAATATCCACTTATTACAATCAAACCAGAAGTTGCCAGCGCTTGATTTATCCAAAACGGGCCCGCTGACTTTCAAGCAAGTCGTTCAGGATTCCCTGAATCCATTTGTCACGGATCAAGAAGCGGAAGATTATGCGCGGTACATTAATCATCCGCAGACATTACCACTTGTCGTTTCAACTGAAACGCCAGCAGATATTGATGTCGAATATCTGGATTATGTAAGTGGCGCGTGGCAGGAATCGAACTCTCTTTCGTATACCCTTGAGGAGGATTTGAGAGACTTTTCCGACTTTCTAACTGTCCCCGATAATCCTCTCACAGTCACCAATGAAGATGCCCAGAAGAAGAGGTACAAAGCATACCGTAAATGGCATAACGGGAAATCATTGTTCAAGCAGCAACCTATTGACTGAATGTATCCATATCATGTGTTGAATGTTGGTGACAAAAGCGATGGATTTCGAGTCCTTCTAACGGTAGCTGGAATCTTGGGCCTTGCGTCGGAATACACTTCATGTGCCTGAAAGTTCACATGAGGACACGGCTTATGTGCCAGATTGCGATATTCATTGCATTCAGCTTGTACCTGTCCGCAACGAAGGTCTAGGCGTTTATAGGCCAATATTGAGTATATGATACATTCTATTCTATTCGAGTTTAAATAAATTAGAAAGATCAGGGTAGACATTGACTGCATCTGTAAGGGCCGTTTCTTGGCCAGCTGTTCCTCCAGTGGACTTAAAAAGCAATGCGGCCGAAATTTGCAGCTCCTGCTTGAGTTGATCAAGTTCGTGTTTTACATCTTCACTGGCACTGCTCATAATCTCTTCGGTTAGATTTATCCAGCAAATAGACAGCGCTTTGACAATCTGAACGCGATGATGTTCTTCCGAGAGTATTGGCCAGCAATTGAGGATTGTGGTCTGAACAGTCTTTATTCCTCGTAAAAGAAGAGCAGGGTTAGAAGGCGCGAATGGATCCACCAGGACAGCTGAAAGTAATGGCAGGATATCCTGCTTGAACATTAGTTTGTTTACTCCAAGTAACTCGAAATCTTACAAACCTTAGCATGTTTGGCGGAGTAAATGTGAAGGCGGTTTATTATTTCGCTCATTTCGGCCAGTAATAGCTCCAGTATAATCGTTATATCTCCGCAATGATGAATCCCATAAATAACCCCTTCACGCATCAGTCTGTCATAAAACCGATTCCTCTCGGGTTTACTATCCTCGGAGGCGTATCGAATATCCCCCAACTCCAAGAGAGCTGAATATGCCTTCTTGAGTAGCAACTGCGACTCTGCGACGGGAGTTAGGGTGGGTAGAAATGATAGAGTCGGCATGAGCGCTTCTTCTAGCAAATCCCTAAGGCCCGTCTGGACGAGCATTCTTGGTGAAGTTTTCTTGAGGAATTCAGATAAAATGGTTAATCCCGATGCTCTCACAGAAGTCGTAGGGTCATCTAAGAGAGTCATCAAGGGCGGGATGAACAAATGCCAGTTATTGGATATCAGGTCCTCCTGGTGCGAGTTAGTTCTTGACGATGCTCGACGACTTGCGGTCTTACATCAGCTGTAGTGACCACCCACTTAAACACCGTCACTGCATGGATATCTCTGCATTTCCACGGTTTCCATATAGCGTCAGGGCTGCTTGGCACCTCAGTAATTCGATTCCCCAGGTTCTCATTTGGTGCCTTTCTTCCCTGGGATGTTATTGTCTGTGGGGTTGACTTCGCGAACAAAGGGCGTATGAACCCTTTTAGAACGTAGTCGACGATAAATGCCCCTGTGTGTACTTCCTGTGATTGGTGATCTAATGCACCCTTTGAAATGTCATATGCTGGTTTGGAATTCCAGGTATCGCCCAGCTGAGTAAAGGCAAGCAAACTCAACAAAACCTCTGACATAGTACTTGCTTCTGATATGAAGCCGTATGATATCAAAAGGTCTATGGACTTCAAGGCGAATATAGACGTGAACTTCCATTCTTCTCTTGCTTTCTCTATTTCCGCAGAATTGGCTGATAAAATTGTTAGCAATGCCCAGTTGAAGCAGGATTGTGAGTATAGGAACCTTCATCAAACGAGGCGTCGAGGAAACATGCACCATCAGGACGTATAGTTTCCATGAGCCAGGCTATTAATTCCTGCGGAGCCACTGAGTTGCCATCTTCCAGGCTCAGTCTTTCGCGACTTTGCAGGCAGCGTTCAAGAATTGCAGCTTTGGCTGTTTTCTGATACATAACCTTGTTAGTGGGATATGAAGCATGGAGTGCGTATTGCTCACCTCGGCCTGAGAGGATACCGGTAACTGAATAAGCCCATCATTCAGTTGCCGAACGCTATATTTTGGTGGTAGAGCTGTCAAGCATGAGTTCGTTAACGCTGGTTCAAGGAGGACGTCAAAGTCTGGGCTTCATTACCATCTAACGGTACAACCAAGGTGTCAACATCATCAATAGTAGCCCCTTTATTAACTTGTTCTGTAACAATTTTCTGGGCTACACTAAACAGTAAGGTCATATTTTGCAGGTACGGTGTGTGAGTTCGTGGTGCTTATGTGGTGTGAGGAGTTAGGGGGAGATTCGATGTTGGTTGACGGTTTTGGGATATTTGGCGTAGGGTTTGTTCGCTCAAACAACAAGAAATCCCAACTGTACTGTAGGTATGAGTTTATCTGGTGCAGGCGTAGTTTACATTATGGACAATGAGGCCACCAGCAAGATCTCCAATGCCAAAGCTCATATTTTGGGAAGATGCGTGTACCACGTGACGACAGAGACCAACATTTCCGTAAGTTACTGTAAATTTACCAAGATCCAACATACCACTACTACCCCTAAATCAACACCCACCCAACGCAACATTTAGTCTGCAACCTGTCCGTGATATTATTATCAGTCAATACTAACCAAGAAAGTATTTATGACCAAAAAGGTCGTTGAAGAACATAAAATTGCCTATATAATGGGAATTCTAAGCTCCTCCCTCTTCCTCATTACCTCCTCAATTGCACCACGAGGATCTGTCTCTGTAGGGTTGCGGAATTGCCAGGCCATGACCAAATCCAACGCTGCTGCCATCCACATCCCTGGCTTAGCCTTGAGTTCCTTTGATAATTGTTTGCCGTCTATAATCCGTTTACAAGTTGCCGCCTCCAACAAATCCATGTCAATAATATGATCCAGAAACTTCTGCCACTGTTGAAGAAAGGTATCGTATCCTGTCAGACAATTAGTAAATTTCTCTTTTTGAAAACAAGGACACAGGCATACCAGCAGTGACATCAGTCCCCATAGACTCCACAAGTATGGCTAGAACGACGTGGAGCTTCCATTGGCCACCATTGGCATCCCATCGACGAATTGTCATGCCCAGCGTGTCACGTTCATATACCTGAGACTCCTTTGCCAGTACAGCTGCCTTTAGGTCGATAATTTCGCGAAAGTGCCTGGAAGCACCCGTAACAACATCGCAAATTTTGTTGTTTGACTTGATACCTTCCCTCGCAGCAAATGTAGCATATGGAAGCGGTAGCTTGCCTCCAGGGGGTCGGGGAGGGGACCCAAGAGACGCCCAAGGTGATAATGCTGCAAGGACCCAAGCAACAGCTTCAGATTCATCAGAGCGAACAAGTAGCTTATAAATGGAGGCGGGAGACTCGTTAGACTTGATAAGATCGAGACAGTTATATGCATTTTTCCAATTGCTAGTATCCACCTGGGGAAATCGCTCTGCAGTGGGGTTAGTGAATATTGTCGTGTACAGGCCCAACCGATCAATCAGGTCAAAAGCAGTACGGGTGTTTTTGTCTGCGACATTCTTTAGCATCAAGACTCGACAAGCGAAGTCTCGGAGTAACTGACCATTCATCATTTTCTCCATCTCCACGCCGACCCTTTCTCTGCTGATTTTCAGTTTTAAAGCGTCTAAAATTGCCGGATCACCCATGGATAGCTCTGAGTCTGTGTCTATTCTGAAACTGAGCCGACTTGCAAAACGAATTAATCTCAAGACGCGAAGCGGGTCGTCGACGAAGGTCTGGTGAGGCTCAAGAGGAGTTCTGATTAGCCTTGCGTCAAGGTCTGCTAGACCTCCTGCGAAATCTTCCACTTCGTCTGTGTGGATGTTGTAAAACAGCGCATTGATAGTTGCATCTCGGCGTAAAGCATCTTCTCTTGCGGTTCCAAATTCCATCTGTGGATTCCTGCTATCAACAGTATATGTCTCCTTCCGCAAGTTCACGAAATCAAGATCGTAGCCCAATAATTTCGTGGTGACGGTTTCGAGGTGTTTCGACTTCTCTGGATTTGCTGCTATCTTGTGGAGGTTCGAGACATTCTCAATCCCATGCTTGAGCCGATTCTCTGGGAGATCGAGGTACTCCTTCATCTTGAGGCTAAACGCATAGCCCGTCATTGAATTTATAGCAGTATCAATATCATTGCTTGGAATAGCCAGAAGCTTGTCCCGCACCCAGCCCCCGGCGAATCGAAGCTCCAGCCGCTCCTTGATCTCTTTTGACTCGTCGATATACCGAGCCACATCGAGCAGCAGGTTTCGTAGTTTGGACTCCTGGGGGGTAAGCGTAATTCGAGCAGTTGCTACGACATCCCCAGGACGCAAAGTCGCCTGACCCATGCTGGCGCTGGCCATGATGGTTTTTCGTGGGAACTTCTTGAAGCCCCGGTTTCTGTGCGAACTTTGGCGCTTTTGGGAGGTAGGTTGTTGAGTCACAAGGCGAAGCGATCGCCCAACTGATGATAATGTAGAGCAAGATATGAGGCTGCGTGGGGGTATCGAATATGAGATAGTCATGTAAGGTGTAGAAGAAACCTCATTATATTTAAGGTATAAACTGAAGCGCAAAGTAGAAGTTGAGGTTCCGAAAGAGGGGAAGAGATGGGTGAGAGAGAGCTGTTTGAAATATTTGGTGGGGGGTAGAACGGAACATGTACTGTACCTGGAAGTTTCCCGTGGAGTACAGGAACCTTAATTCGCTGACGGGTGTGAATAGTAAATGGCTCCATAAAGATCGTCAACTACGACCTCTTGTCTTGACATAGCCCGCAGTCCCCGCAGTCCCGCAGTCGCAGCATCTTTCGAGCCACTATACGATGCCATTTGATTTATACTCTTTCGTTCTTGCTATCTACGTCTTCAAATCCAGAGCATGCCTTGTAAGGTAGTCCTGTCTCGTCAGCATATGGTTGTTCCCACAGATAGACGAAATGAAAGAGGCTGACTTGACCATGTAGCACAGCTGGTAGTTGATAACTTCAGCTTCGAATGAGACTTCAAATTGAGGATCGAGCCCATATCTGTTCCGAACCGCATACCCCACACATTCCAACACCCGGGTCGGTTGGCCTTCATGACATCAATCAATGATGGAGCTCCTCATGGACAGTCGCCCTCCCAAGCAGCCAGCTCCCCGCCAGCGAGGCTACCGCGAACAAGAGATAATACAGATTTACAATCCCCAGCCTCTTCTATATCAAGTCTACCATACAGGCCCAACGCTGCTGCTTCTGTCCTATTTGCGGCGACAACACCGCCCGGTTCACGGCCTCTGTCACCTAGTGCAGGTATAACGACCCCGAATATACCTTCTGGGTCAATATTTGGTGGGGGAACACCTCACGAAGGCGCCCCACACGACGGGCCTGCCAGTCATGGAGACGACCCAAGGCCACTGATAGCACACGCTTTCGTACCCCATATTGCTGTTTTTCCGTCCCAAGACACAGACGACCTTATTGGGGAAAAGGGGTTTTCCCGAGGTCTGTGGCAGCTGCTACGACCATTTGGCGACCATGTCCAGGGGAAAGTAATCATTCGGGATAGCATCGGTGCAAGCAGGGTCTGCGAAGACTTCTCAGTGCGCTTCATGCAGCTTGGGAGTGAATACGAGCGTCCCGTACATTCAGGAAACCTAAAGAGTTCAACTGCGCAAATATCGAAGAAGAATGAGCAGCATATCACCCAGGATCAATTTACTGCGACAGGGGGAAATATAGAGGCTGTTGAGAATGTGGTTGACTTGCACCTGGAATACGCAGAGAATTTCCCTGGTGTTGGGTATCAAGACCACCTGGCTGGAAGACATTTACCCACAGCTGAATCCGAATTATCGCCCTTCTACTCGTTGTACCTGAGGAGGCTCCTGTCAGGGATGCCACTGGCTCCACACGAAACATTCTGCCATCCAGTTGCGTGTATCATTGCAATAAGTTCACGCAATCCCAACCCGATAGAAGAACTCCGTCGGCTCTATGAAGAGGCAACAAGGGGTGAAAAGCGATTGCCGCCATGGGTTAATGGCGAGTATTTACGCTATTATGTTCTTGTGCATGACGAAGAACGAGACGATATCGGCAAGGCAATGAGCTTGTTCGACCAGATGAAACGTCATTTTGGTCTGCATTGCCATCTTCTGAGGCTGCGAAGCAGTCGTTGCGTCGCCACAGATGACGATAGCATACCTCTTCCTACTTGTGAGTGGATGTCAGCTACCGAGGAACTGCTGGATATCCAAGCAAGAGAAGACCAAGACGGACTAGATATCACTCCTCCTTGCATTTTTGAGTCGGATGCTACAGCGATTACCACGTTCATTCGGGAGATGGTTACTCAATCTGTAGTACCATCAATGGAAAGGTGCATATCAACATGGAATGGCCAAGTTGCATCGAGGCGCCGTGGGATTAGCGGCCGCTTCATGAGCCTGTCTAAGAAGTGGACGGTGTTTGGCAACAGCTCCAAGACATCTTCTGGGGGTCCAGGTGCTGGTGGGTCCGGCAATAACTATGACTCCGTTCATGGGTTTTACCAGCCTGATACACCGGAATCAATAATGCGGAAGCTAGCCGACTATGCCTTCATGTTACGCGATTGGAAATTAGCGCAGTCAGTGTACGAGCTGTTGAGGTCCGACTTCAATAACGACAAAGCGTGGAAGTATTATGCAGCCGCCAGCGAGATGGTTGCTGTTAGCACCCTTCTTGCCTCACAGGCTATGAGCTCCAAAGTCCGAATAGAATCTGTTGATCAAATGCTGGAGGCTTCGTGTTACTCGTACCTCACACGTTGTAACTCACCATACGGGGCTTTGCGGTGCCTTACCCTGAGTATGGAATTGCTCAAAATCCGCGGCGAGTCAGCTTCGGAAGCTGCTGCCAAATGGGGAACAAAGATAATCGAAAGCAACATACTTGGAGCAACAGGAGATGCCCTGATGAAAGAGAGGGTTGCGACTTGTTACAGGTCCCGTAAGGGGACAGGATCTGGAGGCTGGGGAAGCCGGTCCCGAAAATCGGCATTGTGGGATATCTTGGCCGCTGATAAATGGCTTATTTTAGGTAAATATGTTCAAGCTCAGAAATTGCTGGGCCGTGTCCGAAACGTATATGACATCTCGGCGAGCAAGAAGGGAATATCGGGGTTCATCGCCGCAAACGAATTTTTGATTGGCCTTGAACAAGACTTGAAGAGGGCATCACTCTCTGGCGAGGGCCAGATTGCTCAAGAGGTTTCTGAGGATATTGAAACCGAAACTTTTGAAGGACGCGAAACATTACACGCGCGAACGCACCGGAATAGCCTCATAGGTGCCACCATGCCGACAATGGGAAGCCTAGAAACAGCACCGTTGCATATGGTACAAGAGGATACAGGCGGCAAGGGAGTTAAAGAGGATGATTTTTCATGATTTAACTCTATTCATATTGAACCCGCTGTAGAAAATACTAGCCTTTTACCTTTATAGTACATAGTATAATGCGTCGTCATGGATCAACAAATGTCTCATTTATCAAGTGCTACTTCGTATGTAGTAACTTGGAAGATCACACATTTTTAACAATGGGGATATCGAACTGAGTGCTGGGGACAATATGTGTTGAAACGTCGACAGGTTTTGTTATGTATACCTGAATTTGATGGCCACAATGCAGGAACACATTTATCACGTGCATTTGGTACATGTTGAGATAAAGGCTACACAGCCAGGCAGTCAGTCACAAGTATGCCAATTTGGTCATGATATGGTCCCTCTATAACAAACGGGACTATCTCGGAAGCAAATTCCGAGACCCCTGTGCCCTGTTGACTATGGGCGAGCTTTTTGAGTTTTTGACGACGCATGAACAGTTTCGCAGGTAACAAGGACCATGAGTAACGGATGTGCGTCCCCTGCTGACGATACGATAGGGCTCGACTCCCAGCATTGTACTCGGACTTCAGGGCGCTCCAAAGCTTAAATCCTGATGGCTTTGCTGCAAATGTCGAGGCATGGAAGAAAGGCCTAGCGTCTGCGTTGCGGGAAGGGTGTGTCCCTGCCACTGGAGACCTCTTGGTGCTGAGAGTTGATGAAAGTCTCATGCACGGTTTAGAAACAAGGGAATGGGGCCGCCCTTTGGCGCTGGGAGCTGTGTTGCGCGATGCCACAGGTAAGAAGGAGATGATGCCGTTGAAGAGCTTCATGGGTGCTCAAGAGAGCATATATCAACGGTCATGGAGCAGCACGCCGTGGCAGGCCGTGTCGTGGGGCCTAAGGCAGTTTGGACTTATGGACAGGTATGGAGACAGCGATAAAGTATCTGTTGAGGAGCTGGTGGTTCTGTCAAATGTGGAAGCTGCTACGAGAGAGGTTCAACGACGAATGGGCAATCATACGTCACGGGTCGATATGATCTATTCAAAACAGATGTTTTATCGAGACTATGGAGATGTCCTTACAGACAAGCGTCACATATCACATAGAGATCTCGAGGTCTTATTGACGTATATTTCACGAGACAAGGGATTGGCCGATTATGATGGACAGACGATAAAATTCAAGTCTCACTCTGACGCCCAACCTCCTAAGATAACACATGAAGATTCGAGTATCGCTTCTCTGAAGAATCTTATGTTCGACATTGAGAAACAGTTGGGTACGTTGGCCGCAAGAATTGATAATCTATCTACTACTGCCCGAGACGCCGTGAGTCGCAAAAACCGAGTTTCTGCACTTGCCGCCCTTCGATCCAAGAAACTTGCCGAGTCTCAGCTGGCTAAGCAATCCTCAGTGCTCGGTCAACTCGAGGAGGTCTATTCGAAGATTGGTGAGGCAGCAGATCAAGTTGAGCTTATGCGCATTATGGAGGGCAGCACGGGCGTGCTGAAAGCTCTACATAAGGAGATTGGCGGCGTTGAAAGGGTTGATGACGTTCTCGCTCAGCTGGGAGAGCAAATGGCTCAAGTTGACGAAGTCGGTAATATAATCACCGAGGCGAATGGCGGAGTGGTGGATGAGAGCGAGGTGGACGACGAACTAAAAGCCCTAGAACTTGAAGATCGAGACAAGAAGGAGGCCGAACGACTCTCAAACGAAATCAAGGAGGAGGAGGAAGCCGCAGAGACGAAGCGCCGACTTGGGGCGCTGGAAACAGAAGTGGGGCCCCGCGTGAGTCAGTCGAAGCAGACTACTGAGGGACAAGTCGAGGAGAGCAGTAAATTGTTGGAGCAACTATCGCTGTGAATCTTGACAGAAGGTGTCAAGGACAGTCACCCTGACTATATTTTGTGGGAGTCTCTGGGATGACGTCGCCGAGCAGCTATTATGATAGGAGGTGATATGTATACTCAATCACAAGAATTGAATGCCCCGATAACTACTGAGCGTTCGTCGCCATCCTGCTCATTTTCAGTCGTTTATAAATTGTACGAGATCGTGACTCGATCCAATATCTATCGCGAGTGCTGCGAGCATCATTTTTGTGAAAGGGGGGATCATGGTACCCTTATTTGGCAGCCTTTGCTGGACTGTCTCTCTTGTATAAAATCGCCCATACGAGCGAGGGATCTTGTAGTAGACTATGACCAAGCGAATGTGAAGCCGGTCAATCGGCACAGTCATTAGTCTCCTCGCTGAAGTTATCTCCAGATACGTCGATTGTCACACCAATTGGTTCGGATGTTGAAGTGGCTTCTCCACTTGATTTCTGTCTTCTGCTTCGCGCTGCCTCTTCGATTAGACTGCGAAATGTTGGCCCATGCTTCGATGACCAGGCAGCGCCATCAAAATCCTTGCTCGCGATCGGCAGCCCTCCGCCGGTATAATTCCTCGATGTTCCTTGGCTAACTTGAGTTCTCTCCCATGTCTCTAGATCACGCAGTAACTCGGCCTTGGAACGAGGTTTGGAGGAATCACAGTTAGCATTCCAGAGTGTTACCCATTCCCTATGCCTCCGCTCGAGGGGTGGTCGGTTTCCGATAGATGATATCCCTAGGTCTTTGAGCTTCTTCCGCAAATTTGTGTCACTAAGAAGGGAGTAGTTCAGGGTTGGAAGAGGCGTTGGTTCGAAGGTAGGCCGTTGCAATCTGAAATTCGTAGTGATGGAAGGATTTGATATATTGTTGGGCTTGCTGCTCGAGTGGTCGCTGGGTGGCGCTGGACATGAAGTGTCAATATGGCCGTTAACTAAAAACTCCTTCATACGAGCTGAGCATATGGGACAAGCCACTAGGCCGTCTTCTATTCAGAAAGGCACCTGTCAGTCCCGCACTTCACTTTTGACGTTGGAATGTGCTACGGCCTTACCACTAGCCCCGTCAGACTGCTCAATATATGTGGCCTCCATGGGACTTTCGAGAGGTTCTTGGGACGCTATGCGTGTTGACGATCTTGTTCTGCGCTTTTCGAGGTCCTGGCTATTGCTAATACTCGCATCACGTTTTCGTTTCTGTGACACCGGATCTGAAAGAACTGGAGGCATTCGGGCAATTTCAAGGGCAGGTCCTCTTATTTGCTTGAAAGACTCGATGACCTCGCCCATGCACTTGTTCGCTCGAAGTTTCAATTCCTGATCCGGAGTCCGACAAGCAGGGCATAGTCCGTCATTCGCCAGGCATCTCCTGATACACAAGGAGCAAAAGGTATGTCCGCAGCTCGTCATCATTGGAGTCGTCATGAACTCCTTGCATACTTGGCATCGCATGGGAGACTCGACAGCAGCAAAGCCTTGAAGAGCCGTCCCTTTCCAATCGGTGGGGTCAGGCACATCGAAAGTTGTATCTTGGGGCCCTATTGTCGCCATAACTTTCGGCTATAACACTTGTATTTGTCGTGAAAGCAAATGGCAAGCTTGCTGGTTAGTGGTTGGCATTCACGTATTTCTTTGACGCGACGATTTGAAAGGAAACGCGTTTGGGATGGATGTGAAGCGCGGTACCCCGTGAGGAGTGGTTAAAGTATTTCGAGCGATAACGATAACGATAACGATAATTTATCGTCATAACTCAATGAACCCCAGGACTAAAAATGAATATGGAGTACTCTACTCACTATAGATGTTTTTACGCTCATAAGGAAGGATAATTACTTGTACGATTTATTTCTGGGCCTGCTTAGATCCGTTAGTTTGAAATTTAAGATGTCAGGATTATTTTTCTGCCCGATAGTAAAGTTTCCAGGTGAATAATATATCACATTAACGTGAGGAGCCTGCTGAGCTGCACGGGAATCCAGCGATTGAGCTGTTCTATAGTATATATCGACTGAAAAGTCTCAAAGATAAATTACAACGCTTCCCATCCATTTGCCAATGCCATACATACAAAACGCCTTAACAATCGTAGCTCCCACCCATTTGCCAATGCCATACATACAAAACGCCTTAACAATCGTAGCTCCCACCCATTCCAGTACGCCCGCATCCAATGGCTTTATCGAATGCTATTTCTTTTCCACTTTCGCCTTCACAGTATGAACCTGTGAATGGTCAGCTTATGTAGTAGCACTGGATAATGATACATACCACTTCGGCAAAGGCAGTGTACTCTTCTATTGCCCTGAGATAGGGGTCTGTAGTTTCATCAGGCAACGCTACATGACCCCAGATAACGAACTCGTCGAAGTCTGCCAACTCTTCCATCATACCCTCCGCTTCCGCATCCTCTTCCTCGTGGCTATCACTCGTGTATGAATGGGACCCTGATAGGGCCTGGGCCGCCTGTGGTATCTCTGTGGTGGAAAGCACGACGCCTTTGTATTGAGGAGGGATCTTGACAGTTCTTCCATGCAATTGGCGACCACGGAAGTATGATACGGTCTTGCCATCTGTAAAGGCAAATTAGCATTGGGCTTTCTGGGATGGAATCTCATGGGTCACCCACCGTTGCGTTTGGTAGGCGTCCAGTATCTCTTCGATACTTCGGCCCTGCCGTTGTGGTTGATACGACATGGCAAAGCGTTAGGCGTGCATTTCCCGCGATGCTTACTGCTCTTCCGGATTGAAAGCATTTTTTAAGTAGGGAGCTGTTGGGGTTGCACTTTGAAAACTCTCGGTCATGTCCCAGCGCTCGTTCCAATCGTAGCATCAGTCGCGAACAACGCGTCTGGAACACAAATTCACGTGATCAATTATACGCGCGTGTGTGATTCCCAAGCGCGAACCAAACTTGAAGAATTCAGTGGGGCTACGGCCTTTACTTATGCCGTGGCCCCGGAAGCTAAGATTATGCTACGTAACTATTCTGCCTGATTCTTGGGGCCAGAATTACACGTGCACAGGCCAGAGGAGAGGGGACGGTTTTGGCCATGAAACCCTCTCCTGTTCAGTTTCACATGTAATGAGCTCCAAAATGGCTCGTCATAAGGTCATTGATCATAAAGTCTTATTTACAAGCATAGTTTCTATGAACGCTTGCCTAGTAGTCAGTCACCAGTACACTCCAAATACATAGTATCGTCGGAACCGAACGTAGCACGCGTATGTTACATACTTTCGGTTTGTGTCTCCCGAGTATTCATCAACTTGGTGAACACCGTCCAGTACATACAAATGGTCCCCACCATGTTGGAGCTATCGAGGCTCTATACTGTTGAAGCCGCAGGCATGCGCAGTTTATAACGGAGCAAGTTGGTATGGGCGGCAGGATGGTGAGAATCCATAGACGGTGAGACAAAAGTCGCAAAGTGGCTTTGTGTTAAGGTAGTCGTCATACACAACCACATCACCTGTTGGATAGGCGGGGCAGTTTCTGGGAGTGGCCGTGAGTGAGCAAGGTCACCGTTGACCAAAGGCTTTAGCGCTTTGGTAGCACGCCATAACGTACGTGCGTCCGGATATGTGAGGGTTTGTCGTCTCTTGGCGATGCCCAGGTATGAGACTATTCCTGTGGCTAGTCGCAGAAATGAAGCCGCAATATTGCCATAGCCCAGAACTGTCAAGCAGACCGGAGTACTAATACTCAAAACCCTATCACTTCACTTCTTCCCCTTGCCTTTCTTTCCCGATTTTGCCCCCCTCCCCTCGACCCTTACCCGTTGTGGAAATCGCTTTGCGTGCTCAAGGTCGAATTGCTGTTTGAACCTTCGGAATAAGAGCATGGTTGCGCGGGCATCCTCAACACTGGAATGCGCTCCACTCTGTATCTGAACGCCTAGGACTTCGATGGCCAGTTTTTTTAAACTCGGCGTCCTTCCGGAGGCATATTTTCTGAAGCCGATGAACCTCGACGTATCCCGGATATCTTTTTTGGGGTGGCCTATCATCAGAACATCCAGGTCATTCTTGATGGCATGTCCTACGAGGACATTATCTTTGAGAATCTCGGCGACGCTTGCCTGGACAACTTCAAATGATCTCGCCGTTGGCATGTTATTTGGGCTGACCCCACTCACTTTCGTCCTCCAGTCTGTAACAAACTCCTTTGGGCGCACAAAAGAGTCGTAGACTTGTGCACCATTGTAGTTGACAATACTGACTCGGGCGAGAACTGATCGATCTTCTTCCCCTCCTACACCGACCATTTCGCAGTCCATGGCCACATACTGTCCAATTTCCACATCTTCTCCCAGGCCCTCGTTAACCTTGTCTTCTTCTGCGCCATACATAATGCCATTCTTCACGCCATCTCCATAAGCCGCAGCAAGATCTTTTGCCGAGATTTCATTATCTTCTGCCCATAGTGCAAGCGATGCCGTAGGAGGCTGGCCATTAATGCTCATCCTGTTCCGCTTCGTAGCTGGCCTGGGCAAACTCGGCGCACCACCAAGTAACTGCTTCGCTTCCTGTCGCCTGCGCTTCGCAGTGGTGTTTAGTTGCCTTTGCGTTGGCGGTGCCTTTAACTTTTTTTCATTCGTCGGATCCTGTTTCAACTTTGCTTGAAGAAATTTCCAATTCGAAGACAGTTCAGGTGCCATTCTCGTAAACTCCGTTTCTTTCGCAAACCTGATTTGGGTAATAGGTTGTAGTATAAGTTTCCCAGTCGGCGGCGTGCAGTAAGGTTGCTCTGAAAACATGTCGCTTACTAATAACGAGGCTACGTATACTAAGGTTTTATTTTGGTCGCGCCACAGCCTTGCCCATTTCAACCATTTCATCCCACTTCACTCATCTCATCAGTAACACCCCGCATTTTCTCACTATCCATCAATATTCAAGCTGATCCCATCTGATATTGATGTGAAGTCACCATGACGGCGAGCTCAAAAGCACAGGATTCTGCGGTTGGGTCACCAGCTCCCAAGCAGAAGAGCAAAGCGACGGTAGATACTCTCAGGTACGTCACATGATGCTTTACGAAATTGTATACTGATTAAAACTATAGAACAGGATGTATTGCTATGGTAGATAAGGATGGGCAGGCACGTAGAGCCGAAATTCTTAGTATTAAAGAGACAAAGAGTGGTCGACACTTCTACTGCAACTTCGACAACTTCAACAAGCGCCTTGATGAGTGGGTGCCAGCTTCAAGAATAGATTTCGATCAGGACGTGGAGTGGCCAAGCCCAGAGAAGACTAAAGAGGGCAAGAAAGCAGTATCAGCGTCGAAATCACAGCCATCCAAGGCAACCAAAGCCCCCCCAAAGAAGGGGCAAAAGCGTATAGCGGCCACTAGGGAGGCGTCCGAAGCCGTATCGGAAGGCGGCTCTCAAAAATGGGTGGAATTCGCAGAAGGACAGAAAGATGGGAAAGGTACCCCGGACACTTATGGCGATGAAAAAATGGCCATGGCTCTAGATCTCGATCAGACAGCCGATTCGGAAGCAGACGAAATGGATGTCGATGAGCTGCAACACGACACAGCTGTAGCAAAGACAGAGGGCAGAGAAGACTTTAGTCGAGAAGAAGAACTGTCTAGGTTACGCACTGGTGGTTCAATGACGCAAAACCAGGCTGAAATTTCACGTATTCGAAACATCTCGAAAGTTCAATTTGGAAAATTCGATCTCCACCCGTGGTATTTCTCTCCGTATCCAGAGGACTTCGCTCACGAGGACTTGATGTACATTTGCGAATTCTGTCTTGGCTACTTCGGAGATATAAAATCATTCTCGAGGCATAGGTCCAAGTGTACACTACTACACCCTCCTGGGAACGAAATCTACCGCGACGACTACATCTCGTTCTTTGAAATCGACGGTAAACGGCAGCGAACATGGTGCCGAAATCTCTGTCTTCTATCGAAGATGTTTCTCGATCATAAAACGTTGTATTACGACGTGGACCCTTTTCTATTCTATGTTATGACTACACGTGATGAGAAAGGTTGTCATCTTGTTGGCTACTTCTCGAAAGAGAAAGAGAGTGCGGACGGCTACAACGTAGCTTGTATCCTTACTCTTCCCCAGTACCAGCGCAAGGGGTACGGAAGAGTTCTTATTCAGTTCTCATACGAACTCTCGAAGATTGAAGGAAAGCTTGGCTCCCCCGAGAAGCCACTTTCCGACTTGGGACTTCTCAGTTACCGACAATACTGGACGGAAAATATCATGGAAATATTGGTGGAGAGCAACGAAAGAGACGACAAATGCAGCATAGAGTCTGTGGCAGCACAGCTGGCAATGACTCTGGGTGATGTTGAGTCGATGCTGCGGGCGTTGGAGATCTTAGCATACCACAAAGGGGAGCACAAACTGATTGTACCATCGGGACTGATCGAACGATATAGGGCGGCGAAAGAGAAAGAGAAATCCAAGCCGAAGAGGATAATTGATCCAGCTAGGATACAGTGGAAACCTCCAGTCTTTAGTGCAGCTTCCAGGACTTGGGGATGGTGAGACGAATGGGTAATTGGCTCTGGTTTGGTTATCTGGGGGGTAAAATATTATTGTTTCGGAAGGGGTGGTGTTTGGGAGGCATAGTGGCGTATAGAAATACCCTATTTGAAATAAGCATTACGTTTGGTACAAACAGTAAATTATGATATTACCACCGATTTTTTTTTTTTTTCATCTTTACGTGCTACATATATAAAGTTAAACCTTCATAAACCTATTCCAAGCATTCTTGTGTTGGTTGTATAAAGTCAGCCACAGTGTGGCGCTAGCCGCCACAATCCCGATGGCGGAGAGAGACAACAAGGCTCCAAAATAGCTGGTCAAACTGTTCAACCTCATGCCACTGACGGTTGTCCCTGTCTTTCCGCCGTGGGCTTTCAGATAGTGTTCATACTTCATCTCGCATGTAATCACGCTCATCCAGTATACCTCGTGCGAGGTTTTAAATGAAAACAATAATGCAACTATTCGCCCTTCCAGTGGCCATCCTTTGGGCGATCCTCTCCGAAACTTCCACCGCGACACATTTCGATACATTTTCTCAAAAAACAGCCGCGAGAACATCATCCGTAGCCGATGATTATAAGGAAGCATGTCCGGATTACGTGAAATATTCTACATATCCCCAGTAAGTCTGTTTGCAGCAATTATGGATGTGCAGGGGCACTAATTGACGACAGCCGCCCGCTCAGCGAAGGTGCTATGCAGCTTCCGTTTCAACGGCCTTCTACACAATGTCGGACATTTACATCCCCACACGTCGAAAAGATAATTAGTGATATTACTTCTAAAATGGTTGATAAGGACCTTGCCAGGCTCTTTGAGAATGCCTTTCCCAACACGCTGGATACAACTGTTAGGTGGCATGTTGATTGGACCGACAAGCTAAAACACAATGAGATCAAAGCCTGGCATAAGACGAAAGGCGACGGAGCTTGGGAAGGCCCTCAAAGCTTCATTGTGACGGGGGATATCAATGCTGAATGGCTGCGAGATTCCACCAATCAATTACTCCAATACCAACCTTTGGCCCTGAAGGACCGAAAGATATTCAATTTGATACTTGGGGCTATCAACACGCAAGCAGAATATGTTATTCAGTCGCCTTATTGTAATGCATTTCAGCCACCACCACCGAGCAAGTTGGCGGCAACCCAGAATGGCCAAGATGATGCTGTCCACCCCGCATTTGAACCTGGGGTTGTTTTCGAGTGCAAGTATGAGCTAGACTCCCTGGCACATTTCTTAGCGCTGTCAAACACCTTTCACAAATTTACTCAGTCGACGGACTTCTTAACTCCTCGATGGTATGAGGCTTTAGATGCGCTCATGGGAGTCATTGAGGAGCAGTCTCAATCCACCTTTAATCCGACCTCGGGTCAGTTCGAGGCAAACAAGTATCGATTCTCTCGAAAAACCACCCAAGGAACGGAGACCTTACCTCTGTCTGGCCAAGGAAACCCTCTTAACCATGGCACGGGTCTAGTCAGGTCTGCATTCCGCCCCTCTGATGATGCTACGATTCTAGGCTTCTATATTCCCGCGAATGCGATGATGGCTGTCGAGCTGAAACGCACAGCAGCTATTTTACGCAAAGCGGGGAAAGGGCGTCAAGCACAGGTTATTGAAAACCGTGGACAGGCTATTGAGGATGGGGTTTGGGAACACGGTGTTGTGACGCATAAAAAGTACGGCGAGGTTTTTGCCTACGAGGTTGACGGATATGGATCCCAGATCATAATGGATGATGCCAATGTGCCGTCTCTTCTCGCACTGCCCATACTAGGCTTTGTAGACGTCACGAATACGGTATATCAAAACACACGTAAGATGCTGCTCGAGAAGTCCGGAAACCCATACTATCTGGAAGGGAGAGCATTTAACGGCATTGGCGGACCGCATATTGGCTTGGAGAATGCCTGGCCGATGAGTTTGTTGTTGCAGGTAATGACAACGGATAACGATGAGGAGATCAAAGAATCTTTGGCGTTGGTCCTCAAAGCGAGCAGACTTGGTTTAGTTCACGAGAGCATACACGTCAATCGCATCCGAGACTACACAAGAAGTTGGTTTGCTTGTAAGTTGAAAACTGCCACCAACCCTGGACCGTAACTGACCCACGACATAGGGGCAAATAGCGTATTCGCGCAGACAATTATAGATTTAGCGGAGAGGAAACCAGAGCTGATTTTTGGTCCCGGAGCGCAGCCATATACGGTGAACTAAACCAGACCCCAAGAGAAGAAGCACGGTGGATAGTGGCATTTTATGTATATATATATATCATGACAGAGAATCCAGGTTGGCTAGGGCTTGGTCTTGTGCTATTATTAAGTGTTCGTTGGAAATTATTATTATCGCAACGAATCTAAATACCCCTTCCGATACTACGACCCGCGTCTAGTTTTTAGCCTAAGCAGGAAATCATAGGTTATATCGACTGGGGTCTAATGCAAATCGCTCGCCGATCATGTCTTCTTTGCGAAGAAAGCCATGATATTGCCCTGTCCGGGTTTCCCTGCGGGTTTCTTCCCTTTCGGTCCACTAGATGAGGAAGGAACTGAAGACTTCGTCTTGACAACCGGCTCATCCTCCGAAAACGACTCCCAGCCGGGCTCCTCCTTCGTAACTAGAAGCATGTTAGCTATGTAATCAAGAGCAAAGAGTTCTTCTGCTTACCCAAGTAACCTTCTTCGTCTCTAGTCGTTACTTTCTTCACTATTCGTCGTCTGCCTCTCCTACTACCCCCTGAAACCTCCATATGTTCCTGCGGTTCCTGGCTAGCTGTCGGCAGTACATCAGGAGTCACGCTCTCCACATATTCCTCCACAGGTGCATCTTGAGGCACAGTAGACAAGCTTGGCTCTTCCTCCTCGTCGTCCTCCTCCATCATCTGCATTAGAGCCGCCTCCCTCGCTTTCCTCGACTCCCGGTTCTCCTCGATATCCTTCTTTGGCCTACTTGGCGGCGGCACATATGTCTCCTCCTCGTCATCAGAAGCGTCCTTCATCAGTGAATCTTCAGAGACATCAGCGGCTTCATTCTTTACTGTCGGCTTCTTGGCCTTTGCAAACGACGCAAAGATGCCGCCAGAGCCTTCGCATTTCAGGGAAGCAGTATTTTTTGGCGCCGGAATGTCTTTGGTCGCTGGAGCGCCTCCTTTAGGAACAGCTTTGCCAAAGAAACCCTTACTGACTTTGGTGGATGATGTCGAAGAGATCGCTGGATCGGGCTTCGACTCGGAGATACTTCCTTTGGGTTCTGTTTTAGGTTCTGCCTTGAGGGTGCTTGTAGTTACCTTCAAAGCCGGTGGTGGGGCTACCGCAGCAGATGTGGCCACACGATGACCTGCTCGTCTCCTGACAGTCTTGTTAATCACGGTGCCATATGTTGATGCAGCCTCGAGTGGATCTTGATCTCTGTACTTCTCGACAATTTCTCTATTAGCGTCTGATAGGGCCTCGAGATCTTTCATCACGCTCGGCCCCAAACAATAGACGTGAATAGAGCTGATAGACTCATAATTCTTCCGTGCTTGTTCTAGGTCTCCTTCTCGAACCAAAGTGACGGAGAGAGTAGGAATATCTCCGTTAGACTCCAGAGCACCATCATGTGGAGTGCTCCTGAAAGGAGGGCTGCTTTGCATATAGCCAGCCTCACCGTCGGCGCCGTCTACATTAGACGCCTTTGGCTGGTCAGTTGGAAGTTTTTTACCCGCAATAAGATATGAGGCATGGACTGTTCCTGGCTTCTTGCGATTTTGTTGCTGGTGAAAGTCGAATAGCATCCTTGAGCAAAAAAGTTAGGATTTGCACGTCTAATAAGAGGAAATAGCTCACTCCTTGGCAATATTAACGTGTATCTTCAAGGCGCGGCTCAAAAGCCGATATGTAACCTGGTGTACGTTAGCATACTGGTCTAGAACCGGAAAGTTGGGTTGGCATGATTGTACTATGCGATCCTCATTGAGAATATTAGCCGCCAAATAGGTTCCGTAGTCCGATGCCATGTTTACGTCCTGCCAGTGTTAAGGCAGATCGAAGTGTCTATGTCTTGCTATTAATTGGAAAATTCTCAGCCGCCAACTTCGATCGTCTTGTTCATGGAGGACGCGGTTGTAATCAGCGAGTGTCTGGAGATCAGTCGCGTGGTCACGTGGTAGTTATATTATAATCACGTGATAATGGCGAGTGCGGGGGAGTTGGGCTTGGATCCAAGTGAAAACGCGTCTAGCGTGTATGCAAGCACTTTGTCGCGTCCCTGAGCCAACAACCTCCTGACGCGTCGTGCCAAACCATTCATTTTACATCCGACCTCCTCTCTGCCCAACCCACGAAAACCTTCATTTTCTTTACAGACCGGCCATAAACGACGGATACTCTCATACTATTACTGATACTGAGCGATACTGAGCGACAACCCGCCGCCCCTATGTCGGATTTTGATCTCAATTCCGGGAGGATTGCCCCTCCAATGTCTGGCTCTATTCGAAGCTCCTCGGTGCGACCACGGGGACCACCGTCTGAAAGCCTTGCACCTCAGAGTGACGATGAAGGGTTTGCGGATGACCAAGTTCCTACGGGAATAGCACGACCTAGGAACATCCATGATCGCCCAATACCTCGGGTTGAGGACAAAGTCGGTCTATCAGTGCAGAGCAATTTCGAAACATTTCTTGAAAAGTGAGTAGGATATCTAGTACTCGTCACACCATAGTTACTAAGTGCTGCGTAGATTTGAGGAAGAACCGTCACCCTCAGCTGCACCAGTGTCTAGCAATGCGACCGTGGGCAATTACTACTATATCGCACAGATACACGGCCTGAGGATATATCAACTCTCGACGCTGTACATTGACTATAACCATATGAAGCAGTTTTCTGGAAATCTTGCAGATGCCATAGTCAACGACTACTACAGATTTCTTCCATTCTTAACCAAAGGCTTACACAACTTGATCGCGAAATACGAGTCAAGATATTTCAAGGAGCATCGCCAGCCAACCGTCTCCAGCAATCAGGCTTCTTCCGCAGCGGGCAATGTCGCTTCCGAAAGTCTGTCCGACTTTCAAGGAGACAAAACTAGCAACCAACAGACAGACAAACTCTTTGCAATCGCATTTTACAATTTGAGTCATGTTGACAGGGTTAGAAGTTTACGAACAGCCCATATCGGCCAGCTTCTATCGATATCTGGCACTATTACCAGAACGTCAGAGGTTCGCCCGGAGCTTTCCCTAGCTACATTTACTTGTGAAGCCTGCCGGATGGTGGTGCCAAATATTGAGCAGACATTCCGGTACACTGAGCCGACACAATGCCCGAATCAAAACTGCGGTAATCGCCAGGGGTGGCGCCTAGACATCAGGCAAAGTACATTCGTGGATTGGCAGAAAGTGAGGGTTCAAGAGAATAGCTCAGAAATTCCAACAGGCAGTATGCCCAGGACGTTGGATGTCATCCTCCGCGGAGAAATTGTTGATCGGGCGAAGGCAGGAGAGAAATGCATCTTCACGGGCGCATTAATAGTTGTTCCAGATGTCAGCCAACTCGGGCTCCCGGGTGTTCGGCCAACAGCTGTACGGGACGACAAAAACGCGCCCAGAAGCGGAGATGCTGGAGGGACTGGTGTTACTGGTCTTAAAGCTCTCGGTGTTCGGGATCTTACATATAGGCTAGCCTTCTTGGCCTGTATGGTAACTCCTGACACCTCGACGCCTGGCTCGGTTACAAGCCAGCAATTATATGGCCAAGCTAGTAACATTCTGGCATCACTTAATCAGACGGCACCCATCGACCCAAATGAGTCTGGCGACCTTGCCCAAGAGGCTGTCCTTGCGTCCATGACAGACGCAGAAATTGCCGAACTTCGCGAAATGGTTCACAGTGGCCATATTTATTCGCGTTTAGTGGACTCCATTGCCCCCATGGTTTACGGTCATACCATAGTCAAAAAGGGACTGCTATTGCAGCTTTTGTCTGGTGTGAGCAAATCCACTCCCGAGGGCATGCAACTCAGAGGCGATATCAACATCTGTATCGTTGGAGATCCTTCGACATCTAAGTCTCAATTCCTTAAGTATATCTGCTCATTCCTCCCAAGAGCTGTATATACATCGGGCAAGGCCTCCTCGGCTGCCGGTCTTACAGCCGCCGTTGTGAAGGACGAGGAAACTGGAGAATTCACAATTGAAGCAGGAGCTCTTATGCTTGCAGATAATGGTATTTGTGCCATTGATGAGTTTGATAAGATGGACATAAGCGACCAAGTCGCCATCCATGAGGCCATGGAACAGCAAACCATCTCGATTGCCAAGGCAGGTATCCAGGCGACCCTGAACGCGAGAACATCTATTCTTGCCGCTGCCAATCCAGTTGGTGGAAGGTACAATCGGAAGACAACTCTTCGAGCAAATATCAACATGTCCGCACCTATCATGTCTCGCTTCGACCTGTTCTTTGTTATCCTCGACGAATGCAATGAGGCTACTGATCGTCACTTGGCTGAACACATCGTTAAAATCCATCAATTCCGCGATGAGGCTGTAGAGCCAGAATTCACAACGGAACAACTTCAGCGATACATCCGATTTGCGAGAACGTTCAAGCCCGAGTTCAACGATGAGGCCAGGGAGCTATTGGTTCAAAAATATAAGGAACTGAGAAGCGATGACGCCCAAGGGGGTATTGGTAGAAACAGTTACAGAATTACAGTCAGGCAGCTGGAGTCATTGATTCGTCTGTCAGAGGCCATCGCTAAGGCGAATTGTGTTGGTGAGGTTACTGCTGCGTTTGTGACGGAAGCTTTCGATCTCCTGAGACAGAGTATCATCAGTGTCGAAAAGGACGACGTGGATGTCGACGATGAAGAAGAAGATCTAGCAGGAACCTTGGGTGGTCCTACCGATGTCGAAGGCGATGCAGCCATGGAAGACGCCGATGGGCGCGAGGCAGGAGCAGACGGACAGCGCCCAAAAACCAAGATTACACACGATAAGTACTTGAAGATTCTGAAGATGATTGCTCGGCGTATCGAAGAGGAAGAGTTGGCCACCGGGAATGGTGTTGAAGGCGAAGTCCTTATTAGGTGGTATCTCGACGAGATTGAGGACGAAATGAACAATGAGGAAGACTTTCATTATGAGACGAATATAGCGAGGAAGGTTCTCAAGAAACTGATCAGGGTATCCTTTATTACTATTCATAATCAACGGAAATTTGCTGACTTTATTCTCCACAGGAAAATACTCTCATGGCGGTCCGTGGGGACGGCCTTCTTCCTGAGGATGGAGAGGAAGACTCTGCACCTGCTGACCAGGTTGCTTACGTTATGCATCCTAACTATGCATCTGATGAAATAGAGCTTAAACAGTCAAAAAGGTAATCCAGTGGCTGTATTTCCGGGGCTATGCCAACGAATATGATACATGGGATTTGAGAGGGCGTTATGAGTAATTCATGGGTGCTTGGATGAATGGGACGATCTTTCAATTTGTGTAGAGGGTGAACTTTGTGTTCGGTATTATCTTTATACTCATGTCTTGATGATTCCATTGACAGTTGGGACTAGGCTCAGGCTTCAATGATCAGGTTACATTTTACATATTATTCCGCTCCCATTGAGGAATTTGTGATTTAGCTTTGGTGGAATAATTAGTGACGTGATAGTTCTGATTTGGCGAGACTATTAAATTATTTAGTTATTAATTCGCCAGGGTTAGCTCCAAATGTTGCGCTCCGAGATACAGCGGAACGTTCAACAAACCTCAGTTGCTTATTCGAATTTATTTATATTCATTTGTTTATATTCAAACCCATTCCCGTTGCCCTATTTTTGTTATGCCTCCTCCAAAAATCCAAATCAACCTCCTCAGAGGCTGGCCTTCCCCCTCACTCCACCCAACCCCCGCCCTACTGTCTGCGGCCCAGCACGCCCTTACCCAGCCATCAATCTCGATACCGGCCCTCCAGTATGGGCCCGATGAGGGTTATGAGCCACTTCGGCTTGCTGTTTCTTCTTGGCTCGCATCTTTCTACTCCGTGCCGGACGACCCCGCACGGATATGCATTTCTGGCGGTGCAAGCCAGAATTTGGCAGCCGCGCTGCAAGTCTTCTCTGACCCAAATATTACAAAGAGAGTATGGATGGTAGCACCATGCTACTATCTGGCTTGTAGGATTTTCGAAGACGCAGGGTTCACTGGGAAACTGAGGGCCGTCAGAGAGGATGACGAGGGGATCAACGTGGATGCACTGGAAAGAGAGCTTAAGAGCCTAGAAAACGAAGAGCCGGGAGGCCCTGTAAGTCTTTATATTCTTTAGTAATCGTTGCCGGCTGGATTTCTTTCTTGCGGGCCTTCTAGATCACAACCACATGACGCATACTGTCGTTCTATCTCAACTGCCCTCCATGGCGGATAATTTATCTCCTTGTATCATTCTTGTTACTAGCTTAGCTATATCCGTTTGTGTCGATATAGTTCGAGCTAATATATCTCAGCCATTGAAACCCTGCCGGCCATGGAGCAAAATCTATTCCCACATCATATATTGTGTTCCAACATACTCAAACCCTTCTGGAAAGACCATGTCTCTCCGCCGGCGTAAAGAACTCGTCGATCTAGCTCGGACCTACAACGCTCTTATAATAACTGACGATGTATACGATTTTCTTGGATGGCCAACCAATGACCAAGCACAGCCTACTTCGGACCTCAAGTCCCTCTTGCCGCGCTTGTCAGATATCGACCGGGCTTTACCACCTCATGCCTCTGATCCAAAACATTTTGGGAACACGCTCTCTAATGGCTCGTTTTCTAAGATTGTAGGCCCGGGTGTTCGCACAGGCTGGGCTGATAGCACAGCTGCGCTATCATATGGACTCTCCCAGTGTGGGTCATCCCGCTCAGGCGGCTGCGGTTCGCAGCTTGTTGCAACCTTCATAACGCAAATATTGGAGAATGGATCGCTGCAGAAGCACATTGCCGAGAAGCTTATTCCCGTATACCAACGCAGGTGGACCACGATGATCAATGCCATTGAACGTGTTCTCGTTCCACTTGGTGTGAAGGTAAGTAGGTCGAGTTTGGAAGGGAAGGATGTATTTGGCGGTTACTTTATTTGGCTCCATCTACCGGATGGCGTAACGGCGAAAGCTACAGCCGCTGCAGCGAAGGAGGAAGAGAACCTGATTGTGTCTGAGGGAGAGCTGTTCGAGGTTCATGGAGACGAAAGTGCCGTGAAGCTGGGGCAGTGGTTAAGGGTATGCTTTGCTTGGGAGAAGCTGGAGACCTTGGAAGATGGAATTGATAGATTAGGGAGGGTTGTGAGAAAGCTTCAGGGCATGTAGATAGGACTATTGGAAAGGCTTGCTATAGCTGCGGTATAAATTATTGCCGCCAAAGATATAACACCATCATTTATATGTTCATGCAAGCTAAGACCATTTTCACGGGAGGTATGACAGCGACAAATCACATACATATGAGCGTCTAAATCCGAAGGCTCGTTTGCACCATATCTCATGCTTTTAGTAGCAACAAACGGATCTAAGTTACTATGAGAATATATTTACGACCTTGGCCTGGTATGCTAAAAATCACATATCTACTTTGTTCGGATATGCTTTAGCTTTTTGTCCGTGTACAAAAAGTTGTTGGCATATGCCTTTGGTAACCTCTTCCTCTCCGTTGGCTCTTGAACAAAGTATTCATAGCCCTGTTTCTCCGCAAAAGCGACAGCATCTTCCCTCGATTTGAAGGTCACATTGGTCCCCTGCATAAAATCGCCCGAGGATTGCCATCCCATCAATGGGTTCTCCCATCTGTGGCCCTTTGGCAAGATATCCCAATCCATTCTCCAGTGGTGTTGGTGCCAATCTCCCGACTGTGTAGCTGTCTTGGTTGGGCGATAGATGCTGGTATAGTGTTAGCAGTATACCCCGCGCATTCAGTGGATATTCCATACCGGACGGTTCTTGCTTGTAGCTCAATTGGCGCACCACTGAGGACTGCCGCTGGTAAAACCTCTCCTTCTTCACTGCCATCCATAACTCGTTTCGGGACGGGGGAATAAGTCCTATAGCAAGTTAGTCCGCTGGCCATGGGCATCGGGGCAAGCTGCACCTACGATGTAGCCTGGTCAACCTCCACATTCCAATCCGGGTTATTGTGCCTTATTTTCGTATCCGTTCTCTCCACAGGCGCGTTGCTGGACTGGGTCGGCTTCGATTCGGATTCCGTAATAGGCGTCCCAATTGCAGTCTGGGTGCTATATCTGGCGAACGTGGTGGCAGGTCGGTGGGCAACAGGGCCCGCCGCCTTCAATAACCTCCCAACGATGGAGGGCCGCAGGAGGGACATGGCGAAAGGACTTGATGTGTTTCAATTCGTCTTTGGTGCATCATACGTGGTGGTGTTGGTGGTGGAAGTCGATTGATTTGAGGCTGATTATGTAATCAACCGAGCTAATAGAAACATGCAGGTCGACTTCCATGTCGTCCCGAGCCCTTTGCACTGAACATCCTCCTGTTTTTATCACCACAGAGACTCAATTGATGTGTGTATTCCCATACAGTGTTGAATCTCTGCCTTCAATTGTTTCCCCCGACGAAGTTTTTGACTGACAATCGCTTCCAGCTTCAAAATGAGCTTCGTTACCCGACGCGCGCTTTCCACGCTCATCCCGCCAAAGGTATGCCTCAACAACTCTATTACTGCTCGCTATGGTTAAGATACAGATGCTAATATATTGAGATAGGTGGCGTCACCTTCTGTAAGGACACCCCAGCATTGGACGGAATCGATTGCGATACCATTGACCCGACCGAAGCCGCAACAACGAAACACAAAAGGCTAACTAGACGCAGGGCCTGGGTGCAGCACAAGACGCTGCCCGCATGCAGAGGGTTGTTAGCTTCTACGAGAAGCTTCCCCGTGGCGCAGCTCCAGAGGTCAAGGCCAAGGGCATTTGGGGACGTTACCAGGCAAAGTACTTTGGAAAGAACCCAAGCGGTGCACGTACGTTGCAACAACGCCGACTATGAAAAACAAGCTGACCTGGATATCATAGCCATCGTCCACGTCATCATCGCTGTCATTGCCATTGGATATGCGCAGAACTACTACTTCCATCTCCGTGAGTTGCAGATGCCGAAACCGCAGTTCGACAACCCACTGACTGACTCCTTGCAGGCCACCACAAGAACAACGCCCACTAGATGCATACCGAGCCTACTATATGGTAGAACGCCCTGAGCTATGGGTCTAGGAGTTGTTGTAAATATAAGAGAATCAGTTTTAGCCCGGGAGTGGATCTGTGAACGACGTCGGTGAATGCTACAAATATAGACTCGAAATGTTCGCGAACCGCTTTCTGCTTGCATTACGGGAGTGATGGGTGATATTGTACTGGCAAAATAACTCTCTATTCCGATAGAACCTATTTTGAAGTGGTCTATGTATTTTGCTGTGTATTTTGTCTCCATCAGGCGCTTGATATTGGCCATAAGGGCTTCCTTCTCGGGATAATGGAACAACCGGGAGCGTCTTTCTAACGGGCAAAAATATGCTGCACGTGACCTGAGACATACACTGGCGTTTGTATGCTACTGTACTAAACTCATAATTTGTTTATTTTTCAAGACGCTGACTCCAGCCGCGTAGTCATAAATTGCTGTTGCTTGTTAAATAATTAAAATATAAATGCTGTAAGTTAATGGCTGTATTTATTTTAGCAATTTTGGTTCCAGACGGCCAATTCCCTGGTGGCGGCCGCCCGTCCCCATCAATTACGCGCTAGCCTCTTTCACTCGCTTTCTTGACACCAGATCAAACATTCCAACGTTGACCATTATTATTTGGCACCTTGAATGAGATTCTCAACATCTCCCTGCCATTAAACACGCAAGCTGTTCCTTTTATTCCATACAAAGGGCGCTATCTCGAAGACTGGCGTAGACTCTCTCCTGCTGCGCGTTAGTCTACCTCGATCCCGAGTTCCCAAGGCGACACACGTCCTCTCTACCTTACGCTGGCACGATTACATTTGCTCCCATCGCTGCGCTCGACTCCACTCCCAGAAAGCAGAGAACTTCGCATGCGAAGCTCCGCCACATCTCTCAGACGCCTTGAAGACGTATGATGGCAACAGAAGCCTCACCGAAGAATACCGTGGTTGCTCCTCCCATAGCTGAATCCGAACAAGTATGTCACGCGCCAACTTTACATTGAAGGCTTCACTAACAGGACAAGTCCCAGGCAAGTGCAGCTACCGAAGATGTCTCCGCCAACCCGCCCACAGTAAAGGATGGTATCGAGGTTGAGCGCACTGCAACACCACCCCTCGATGCAGCGGATGTCGCCGTTACGTCAGCAGATGTCAGCGCCAACGGTGGATCGGACAGCGAGGCGGTAAAGTCAAAAGGCACGGTCGAAGGCCATGTACGAACTTCCTCGACTGTCAAGAAGCCGATATCATTCAAAGCTGTATCAGTCAATAAAACTTTTCTGGCGGCGAAGGGTGCTACGGGTCCAACACCATCGAAGGCTGGAGATAAAGGAACTACCAGCTCTACCACGAGCTCTGCAACCGCATCAGCAACTCTGGTGTCGAAACCTCGTCTAGTTGCAAAGTCCGGCAATAACTTGATATCGGCCTCGAGAACAGCCGCAGCAGGCGCGGGCAGTAAATCTGGAGCGGCGCCGGACGCAAGTGCTGTGTGGAATAAGAATAGGCGTACGTGCTCCTCTTCCCCCTTAATGACTACGAAGCTAACGTGCACAGCTGCACCGACACCAGAACCGAAAAGGGTTACTGATGAAGAGCTGGCTCAAAAATATGGCATCCATCTCGCGACCCGGTTGCAATCGGACGATCCTGGAAGGCAAGCAAATTGGGCGGATATTGACGATGATGATGACGACTGGGCACCACAGTCAATAGAATGGTCGGACGGGACAAAAATTTCTATGCCGCAGCAGGTAGAAGATCTTGTTCCAGAATTGCCTAAACCAGCACCCCCCATAGCCGTTAATGAGGCCGAAAAGACAGCATCACCTTCCCTACCCGTGGCATCGACAATGAAACTTGGCTCGATGGCTGGTGGGACTGGAAGAGGCTTGGTTCTTAAGGGAGCATCTGAGAAGCCAACACTTGTCGCGAAACCTCCAGCTCTCCCTGTACCCGCCAAGTCGCCTTGGGCACCTCTACCCCCCATGGATAAAGTCGCGCCGATGGTTACAGATATTCCTTCTCAACCGCAACAAGCCCCGCGGTTCGGTACCAGAGATCCTCATGGGTTCGACGGTATGCCATCGCCGGCAAAAGAAATCGCTGCCGATGACTTCAGCCGATCATGGAGAGATGGCAACGCTGGCGTCAGCAAGGAGTTGTACAACTCACAGTCTGGGAGATACGAGCCCGTCAATGATGGACGTAGAGGAAGCCGAAATGAAACCCACCCACGCCAACTGGCTCTTCTGCAAAGACACCAAGAGACTCAAGGCCCAGCCGAGCCTTCCGCCGCATTTCAAACACACAGAGCAAATCTGCAAGACCCATCGTATGGCCGTCGTAGGGCGTCATCTAATGTTAGCGGTGGAAGTGGAAATTATGCTAGGCGACTTAGTAGGGGCCAGGAAAGCTACCCTCCACAGGATACATTTGGGGCGCGGCGTGGTTCATTGGTTGCAGTCAGCGATGAGCCCCTGCACTCACCGTCTGGGCACCCTGGCCAACGGCCAAACCAACAGCAGCAGTGGCAATCACGCGCCTCCCCTGTTGTAAGCCATGCCTCACCTGCATCATCTCTTGCGCAACCCGCAGTATCATCGACTCCAGGAATTCCGTTGGAAGACGAAGTGGAACTACAGAAGAAGATCATGCGAGAGAGCCGAGAGCTTGCGAGAAAAAGGAGACTTGATGAAGAAGCTCGGGAAGAGGCTGAGCGGAAAGAGCGAATTCGACTGAAGTTGGAGGCAATGGGCCCGCCACCAGAATCTAAGAAGCCAAAGAAGGATACTCCTAAGGAAGAAAAGTCCACTCCTATCCAGATCCAAGCTCGAGAACCCGCCACAAAGTCGACGGTGCCACCGAAATTACCTATTAGCGAATCTATAGGCGAAGTTAAGCAATACGGTATGATGAAAGTACACCCGCCAGAGACGGTCAAAGCGGCCGCCGCACCTATCGTTGAGCCACTGAGCAAAGAGAAGGCGGGCGGTGAAGTCCATATCAACGGCATCATCCCCGACGTCTCATCCCGTGGTAGCCTCGACGCGCAGGCTCTGCCGACCCAATCCCAATCTTGGCATAGTAGTCAGAATGCGGCTCCTGATCGAGGTTTCCCTCCTTGGTCTAACCCAGCCTCACATCCCGCTCAGGGACGAAACGTCTGGGGACCACCGACCAATGATCGCACGTTGGGCAACGGGACCTTTAATCCCGAATTATCTGTCCAGTCTTCTCAAATTACACCAGTTGGCCCAGGGCCGATTGGCCCGCCGACTTCCAATAGAACAAATGGCCAATTTCAAGGTCGTGGCCGTGATAATTACGCTCAACGACCAGCCCCTATTGCGCCGCCTTCTAGACATCAAGAACATCGACCGGCAATGGCCTCCGGTTGGACCAGTGGCAACATCCACTCGAGACTCGCGGAGGATGATGCCCGTATTCTTGCAGAACAAGAGATCGCACAAGCGTCTCGATCCGACGAGTTAGTGGCGCCAATTAAAGATACTTGGCGGCAGGTGACTTTATCAAGCGACGGACAACGTCAAGAGGCAAATATCCCTTCACACCCAATCGTTCCTGGTGCTTCGCCCAGCGGCGCACCCACATGGTCGGATTACTCTGTGAGGCCGAGGCACGACGAAACAGCTCAATACCAACCTATGGAACAGGGGGGTCTCTGGCCTCACGGTCATGCAAATGAGACACCCTCTACCTCTACCTCTGGTGCTCTCCCCCCGTCTCGTGGCTCGCGATTCTTTCCTCAAGTTCGTGAGTTGCCTAGAGATGCAATGGCTGAAGAGCGACAATATGCGCGCCCAGGCTCTCCATCACCCCCACCGCCAACAATGGCAGGGCATCCGGTATACGATGGAGACGTTGCTCGCCCTCACGTGTCTCTGCCACGCCCACCGCCAGTAGTTAAGCTACCTCCAGCACCCATCTTGGCACCAATTGCACCCCCGAAGCCAGCATCATTTGCCGCAGCCGCGGCCGCGGCAGGCCCAACTGGATCCATCTCAACCTCACCATTGCTTTCGAGGTCTCAAGCCACAAATACCCAAACAACGAACCAAAAATCTCAATCTCCTACCGCTGGAGGTTGGCAAGATAAGATCAATTCGCTTATGGGGCGCCGAACCTCGCCCCCTAAATCTCACGCTTTGGCCGTCGATTCTTCGAGTAAACATGCGCTGGACCAATCAATCAGTCAAATTCCTGCTGCTACAGTGTCTCTTCCGGGGACCCCTGCCGCTTTGGACGAAGAGAATATGTACGAGACTAAGCCAATGGCCGAAGAATGCTTTGAGGAGCAGGAAATGGGCTATGTGCCTACTGTGAAAGTACCCAACAAAGCTCCGGATGCTGCCTTTTTCCTCGCAGCGCCCCAAGTAAAGCCGCTTCCCCGCAAGTTTGTCGTTTCAGACGTCACCAGCGCCAATAGCCTGAACTTTTCGCCTCAACTCAATAATGAGGGCGAAATCGTCTTGATCCTACTGCCTGGAATGGAAGCAAATAAGCGTGTCACTATCGCACATAAATCGGAACCTCGCCAGAAGAGTAATCCGAGACGGTCCGGCCAAGGTCGCGGGAATTCCCAGCGACACGGGCCCTCTCCTCATAACCGTGGCGGAAGGTCGCGCGACAACTCAAGTACCTTCCCAGCGTCTTCTACAGAACAAGGGTCTCCGACCACAACCCAAGGGACATCAACCCCGCACAGGGGACGTGGAAGGGGCGGGCTCGGAAATAACTGGGCTCATCGCTCTACTACAACACCCCCCAACGCCATCAATGTTTGACTTCAAATGTTTCTGTCCTAACCAACCTATAATTTTTTCCAACAAACCCTCTAAACTTGTACTTTACCTCTCTCACTACGACACGGTCCCAACTACGGATATGCATGTAATTTGGGGGGAGCCGCTATTCTACGCGTGTACATAAGCATTTCATCTCCAGTTCTTATTGCATGCGGTTTTTGCTCCAGGGTCAGAGCTGTGTTTTTTCTGGTCTCTTCCGAGAAGGGCGGAAATGGCATGTGTATTCGGATAGGGGCGCGAATCTGAAATTCCCGCGACAGCATGGGGGGGCACTAATGAATGGGCTGGCCTGGTCTATTTTGACAGATGCTGGCTGTCAGGTCCTGTCTGCCATCGAGCTGGACGCTGGATGTGGGCGAGATGCAGTAGTTACTTTGATAAGAACCGAGAGATAAATAGAGCCTTCAAATTCAGATATCAACTGTGATGTTTTTTTTGGGGGGATTATTATGACCGCATGTTGTAATTTAGTTGTGAGATAACCATGCCATGGAAACCCTCCGTCACCAAAGGAACAATATTGCACAATACACCGTCATCACTCTCCAGTAGACCAGCAGCAAATTTGAGATATTTAAATGCCTTTCTCTTATATACAAAA